TAGTTTGTTCTTCTAGTGTGGATTATAAACCTGCTGATAACAATAATAACCTTGTTTTGTCTTCCAACTGTATGGTCGAGTTGACATTAAGTCAGATCTAGTAAATTTTAGACCCATTAGTCCACTGCTCTATTAGTAAAAATGTTAACGTCGAACCTAGTACGTTAAGAAATGGTTCCTTTTTGCTGAACTGCTTTGTGCTCAGAATTAAGGAGAAATACAAGGACTGGTCTACTCTGTCAGTACAATGTGTCTGGGTATCGATGCACTATAAAACTAAGTTCAATAATCTTAAACATGTCGTTAAACCTTGTTTCACCTCACCACCTCTTACACTGAAGCTGTCAAACACTCACTGCATGTGCAGGAGAAATTTGGCTCCCTTGATTCCACATGTTCTGAACCATTTATTTTTGATATTGCTCCTTGATATAACATGCTTTGCATGTTAGGAACAAATATTTTTATTCAGGTCCCCATTAAGCTCTTTCAAGATAAATATTTTCTGACTGCAACCATGGTTTTTGACATTAATCAAACACTTACAACCTGGAATTGCGTGCCTTTTGAAAACTTTGGTGGGACGACTTAATCCTTTAAATGTAAATCTTAGAGACCAGTAAACGCATCTACCCTTTAGATATATGGAGTGCTTTAACCCATGAACATGCGAGGTTAGCAACAAACAAACAACAACAAAATCACAGTGCTTTAAATATCAAAGTTTTGTAGCCTGCTGTTTTGATGTATTTTTCTGAATGAGTGAACAAATGGTTGATGAATCCATCTATATTGCTGTTGCCTGTACATCATCTAGTCTGGACAGGAAACCTGTGATTGAAAGCATGAGCACCGATCGATGTGATCGGGTCACGATGACATGGAATCAGTTAGTAAGGGGGATAAGAACTGATCCTCTCATTCATCTTTGGTTTATTTGATTTTTGCCCTTAAATCAGGTTTTTGGGTCAAAATGTGTATTTTTTAAATTCAATTTGAAATATATTTTTATGTTTCCTCAAAATGTTAGATTGATAGGGAAAAATAAAGCAAACAGTGGGGGTCCTAGGAATTGGGAAAGAAACCTGTTTAAGTTTGCCGCCCTTCATCCATTAGAGACACGGATCTGTCATAATTTGCCAGAATTTGTTGTGTTTTCAAGGCAAATTTTTAACTGGTTTAAATGATAGGATTATAAAATGAACATATTTATATTGATCATGTTGATAGCAACGGTAAATGGGGTTGTTTTTTTAAACATTAAGTTATAAAAAGGTCTTCCATTTCTTATAACCATGGGATGGACACTTTAGACCTACTCGTCTCCAGGGGATTGAAATACTTCAGCATGTCATGCACGTTTAGCTTGAAAGAGCGTAAAATTAGCTGTGTTTGCTTGAGGCTGAAAAACAAGGCATGTTGTTTCAATTACCTGACTCACCCACGTTTAAGGTGCCAACACTAGTACTAAGTGCACAAAGCACAGTGGTACACAAAGCACACATAGTTCTCAAAATATCTACCTAACAAAAACACAACAGAACATTGACAGTAGTTCTCAAAAATATTTGCAGGCACCAGTCAAAGTAATATTCCTTCTAAATAGTTAAAACAAAAGCAAACTGACAATTTTAATTTACCCTGATTATAATTATGTGTGTCACCTTGTTATTTAGAAACATAAGGATATCTTAGTCCTGAAAAATGAAATGTATATGAAACATTTTCAACTAAGATTAGTGGTTAAGAAGTCACTACTTTAGCAGCCAACAGTCACTGTCAAGTTACCACCTGGAGGTGCTAGGGAACAGTAGATGCTGGACATTACTGAGTCTATTTGAAGCCCCGGGCACAGATCAATTTGACGAGACCACAATTTGACAGGACCGCAAATTGACCCCAGGATCAGACTTCGAATTTTGATAAATTGTTTCAACAGTTAAGTTTGAAAACACGATAACAATTCGTCTACCCGTGTATTCAATCCTGAGAATCAACAGAGGCCATTCAACCTGCATCTAATCTATGGGCAGTACTAACTTTAACAGATTCCCATGTACACAACAGGTCGCCTGTGTGTGGGTTGGGGGGATTTCGGCCACTGGACATGTGGGATTTGTTGCTAGTCATGTTGGACAAATACAGTATTGTTTGAGGGCTTGGACAATGGACACAATGCCAGGCTGTGCAAAGTAGGACCTGTTTGATAATACAGGTGGTGGTCAGTCTTATACTGGACATTGCATATTCATTCTGGTCCATAGGGAGCTAAGACGTTAAGCTGGTTGTTGACAGAATTTAAACTGAGGGTTTGATTATATGCTTTGAACAAGGGCTGATGTTTCAGAGTTAACTAAATTGAATTTTAATGAATGGTTTCAAGGTCATATGAAGCGTGAATTTGTTTGGTTGTTTAGCTACACAGGAATTTTCGTCGCCTCTTTGTCTGTGAGTCTGGGGGCCTGTCAGTGATGTTTGGTGGTCAAGAAAATGGGGGTCCCAGCAAGACCTCTGTGAGTGAGTTTTAGGTTTATGCCGCTTTTAGCAATATTCCAGCAATATCGCGGCGAGGGACACCAGAAATGGGCTTCACACATAGTACCCATGTGGGGAATCGAACCCAGGTCTTTGGCGTGACGAGAGCAAACACTTTAACCACTAGGCTACCCCATCGCACCCGCAAAACCTCTGTACCAGCATCAAGTGAAATATAAAGAAAGAGCCTTATGCTAACTTTAGATTGGACTCTTTTTTTTTCAATGAAACAAAATTGAGTGATATGTGAAATTGCAGTTATTCTTGTTAATTAGCAACACGTTTTTAATCTCTGACCTGTGTCTGAATATTGTTTCTCTTACCACAACAATTGTGCTACCCTCCATGAAGATTGGGGTTAGAACTGATTTTCAGCAACCCATCCATCCGACCATAAATCCTAAGATATTTTTATTCAACCAGTAACTTGAAAATTGTTTTCAAATTTGGCAAACACCTTCTTTGTCTTTCTTTGAGAGGTAGGGGCATTGCAAATTTTGATTATGATATTTCAAATTTTTTCACAAATTCAACAAATTACAAATTTGAATTTGGAAAAGTATTTGTCAAAATATTTTCAAAGGTGGAAAGACGCTTCTTTGTATAAAGGAGAATTGCAGTGCAAAGTGTGGTTCTGATTTTCTACTTTGTGAAAGAGTTGTGTGAGTTTATATATTTTAAACTGAAATTGAATGGGAATTTTCGTTCAACCAATAACTTAAACATATTCAAAAGCATTTGGGGATCACCCTCTACATATATATGAGAGATTTGCAGTGCAAAGTATTATTATGATGTTTTTAATTTATCAAGAATTATCACAAATGTTCATCTCTTTAACTCTGGAAAACCTGTACAGCAAATTTGTTCAACCAATAACTTTACAATAATTTAATGGTTTATTTTCAGATTTGGGTAATGGCTTTTTATATATATAGGAAAGATTGAGTGCAAAGTTGAATACGGATTTTGTATTTTAATCAAAAATATTCATTTTTTACTAATAAATCTGTATGGCATAGATTTTGTTACCAGAATTACCACATCAAGTGAATTCTAATTTCTTCCATTTGAACTGCGGGTGATTCTTGATGTTTGAAGAGGTTTTATGATTTAAGCACTGACAAAAGTGTTGATTTGAACATAAAGTTTATGAAAAGGACCTCTTGACTTTTTTGCTTGATTTCAAACACTAGATATGGAAATCAAGCCAAGAAACTGCCGTGTCACGCTAATACCTATCACTATTAAACATCATAACATAATTTTATTAACCATATAGATTTCCTGGTTTTTGTCAAAGTGAATGTTCCCGTCCTAGATTACGATGGAAGCGCATCTAGCAGAACACTGATGGCGGCCCCAAGCACAATAGGAGAGCATTTAAGCGTGTCTCATCTTTGTTGCAGATGTTCAAACGAGCACATCATGTTTCCGCTGTTTGGTGGGGAGGTAGTTTTAGAGGAGGATACTTGTAGCTAGAGGGATTGTCTGTTTAAACACATACACTTTCTGCTTGTTTAATCAGCTATTACCAGCATTAGGAGCTGCATGAGAACTGGCCCCCAGCAAGTGCTTACTGCAGAACCTAAGTTACTTGGAACTGGTAGTAGCTGACATGTAGTAGACTGGTGAATGTAAGAATAAAAGGAAGGTTTTTTATGGGTCTGATAGAAGTGGTAGGTAAAATAAAAATTCAATTCAATTAAATTTCGTTTATTTTTCTTTTGGTTACCCTTCATCAAATACATAAAGAGACAAAATGTTGCTGAAGGATGTTGTCCTTTGTCTTCCATTTATTTTATGTTTCTTTTAGCAATATTTCAGCAATGTCACTGTGGGAGACAGCAGAAATGGACTTTGACATTTTAGACCTAGACTAACGCTTAGTCTCGGAATGTATGATTTTGATTGTAACAAATAAAACCATTTAAATTGAAAAGGAGCCCAAGGGAGACAAGAGATTCATAACCTGGAGAAATCTAGACTTGCTTCATTTAGGGATTTAGCATTGCTGGGAGGGCTAGGCTGTAGGGAAAATAATGTGGTTCAGGAAGTGTGAGACAGACTTAGTAATTGTACCCATGTGGGGTGACCCATTTTTAAGTGAGATGAGACAATTGTTACTTCCTTATTAAGATCTGCTTGAAGAGATTATTCTGCGTCTGAATATCATGTACCGGGAATGAAAATAGTGTTATTCTGTGCTGCATATGATATTGAAAGATGGAAACCAAATAACCCTTTCATATGATGTCATGTTGAAACAATAAAAGGTTATAACATGATTCATTCAACAAAAAGCATTTGGAATGGTGTATGAATACAATGCCTGAGTAAACAGACCCATTTTGATATAGTGTCAAAGCATATCAGCCATGTTTGTTAACAGAAGCACTTCTACATCCTTTCAGCAACTGTCTCTGTGTAAGTGTGTAGTTCACTGTTGTCCTTTTCTCTTTCAGCCAACATTGAACAGTTTCAACGAAAAAATGCTGAAGAGACCAGCAAATCATCCGTCCACCCCTCTGTCCAGTCAAGCTCCGCCCTTCAGTCAGCCGATCCACCACAGAAACCGGTGCGCAGGCAGAACTCGGCTCGAAGACATACGCTCTCCAGTGGCCTCGACTATAATGCTGTAAGTTGTTATTGTGCAGATTATTTTATTGCGTAAAATAATCATTGGGGTGTTGCTGGAGGAATGGATCCTACATAATCATGGGTGACTGAGCATGGATATGTTGTTGGAGTGAGTGAGTGAGTGAGATTAGTTTTACACCGCTTTTAGCAATATTCCAGCAATATCACGACGGGGGATACCAGAAATGGGCTTCACACATTGTACTCATGTGAGGAATCGAACCTGGGCCTTAGGCGTGACGAGCGAGCGTTTTAACCACCAGGCTACCCAACCATATCTCTAGAAGAAGAAGAGCCTAAATGTTGTTGGAAAAGGTCACCTGGATGATTGTGTGTCAGTGTGCCGTGACAGTGTTGCTGAATGCTCATACCATCAACCACTTGGTGTAAAACGACATGCACTCACTGATACTGTCAACCACTGGTCTGCCTTATACTAAGATTGGACCTGGTGTAAAACAACATGCACTCACTGATACTGTCAACCACTGGTCTGCCTTATACTAAGATTGGACCTGGTGTAAAACAACATGCACTCACTGATACTGTCAACCACTGGTCTGCCTTATACTAAGATTGGACCTGGTGTAAAACAACATGCACTCACTGATACTGTCAACCACTGGTCTGCCTTATACTAAGATTGGACCTGGTGTAAAACAACATGCACTCACTGATACTGTCAACCACTGGTCTGCCTTATACTAAGATTGGACCTGGTGTAAAACAACATGCACTCACTGATACTGTCATCCACTGGTCTGCCTTATAACAAGATTTCGACCTGGTGTAAAACAACATGCACTCACTGATACTGTCATCCACTGGTCTGCCTTATACTAAGATTGGACCTGGTGTAAAACAACATGCACTCACTGATACTGTCAACCACTGGTCTGCCTTATACTAAGATTGGACCTGGTGTAAAACAACATGCACTCACTGATACTGTCATCCACTGATCTGCCTTTATACTAAGATTGGACCTGGTGTAAAACAACATGCACTCACTGATACTGTCAACCACTGGTCTGCCTTATACTAAGATTGGACCTGGTGTAAAACAACATGCACTCACTGATACTGTCATCCACTGGTCTGCCTTATACTAAGATTGGACCTGGTGTAAAACAACATGCACTCACTCGATAGTGTCATCCACTGGTCTGCCTTATACTAAGATTGGACCTGGTGTAAAACAACATGCACTCACTGATACTGTCAACCACTGGTCTGCCTTATACTAAGATTGGACCTGGTGTAAAACAACATGCACTCACTGATACTGTCAACCACTGGTCTGCCTTAGACTAAGATTGGACCTGGTGTAAAACAACATGCACTCACTGATACTGTCATCCACTGGTCTGCCTTATACTAAGATTGGACCTGGTGTAAAACAACATGCACTCACTGATACTGTCAACCACTGGTCTGCCTTTATACTAAGATTGGACCTGGTGTAAAACAACATGCACTCACTGATACTGTCAACCACTGGTCTGCCTTATACTAAGATTGGACCTGGTGTAAAACAACATGCACTCACTGATACTGTCAACCACTGGTCTGCCTTATACTAAGATTGGACCTGGTGTAAAACAACATGCACTCACTGATACTGTCAACCACTGGTCTGCCTTATACTAAGATTGGACCTGGTGTAAAACAACATGCACTCACTGATACTGTCAACCACTGGTCTGCCTTATACTAAGATTGGACCTGGTGTAAAACAACATGCACTCACTGATACTGTCATCCACTGGTCTGCCTTATACTAAGATTGGACCCGGTGTAAAACAACATGCACTCACTGATACTGTCAACCACTGGTCTGCCTTATACTAAGATTGGACCTGGTGTAAAACAACATGCACTCACTGATACTGTCAACCACTGGTCTGCCTTATACTAAGATTGGACCTGGTGTAAAACAACATGCACTCACTGATACTGTCAACCACTGGTCTGCCTTATACTAAGATTGGACCTGGTGTAAAACAACATGCACTCATGGTAGCCAATAGCATGTTGACCATTGGTTTTGTATGAGTATTTGTGTTGGTCCAGATCAAGAGGATGAAGCAGTTTGAGGAGGAGCGAGACATGCTGCTACAGGGGCTGGAGGCAGTGGACACAGCCCGAGAGTGGTACCGCAAACAGATCTCTGCCATACAGGAGAAGCAGAAATACCTCGGCAAGGCCACGCTTAATGTGAGTGGCATGGAGTAGACTGGGAGGCCAAACTTGCTGATCATTCTAATTTAGAATAATTACACTTAAACCGGAGGTGGACCAAGTATGCTTTATTGAGTTGTTATCCCACCGGCATGTAATGCGGTGGGATATAGTCGTCGCCTCGTCCGTCTGTCCGTCCGTTCGTCCGTCCGTCCGTCCGTCCATCCGTCCGTCCGTCCGTCCGTCCGTAATCATTTTGTTTCCGGAGCATAACTCAAAGACCGTTCGATATTTTTTAACCAAAATTGGTAGATATGTCAAACATAACCTAAGGTGGTGCCTTTTGCTATTTACAGATTATTGTCATTTTTATTTTTCTCGGTTTCCATGGAAACGTTTTGGACTTAGTCTTAAAGAAGGGTGGGCTTCGTTTCCGGAGCATAACTCAAGAACCGTTCAGTATTTCTCAACAAAACTTGGTAGATATATCAAACAGATCCTAAAGTGGTGCCTTTTGCTATTTACAGATTTTTGGCATTTTTATTTTTCCCGGTTTCCATGGAAACGATTCAGACTTAGTCCCAAAAGTGAGGGGTGGGCTTCGTTTCCGGAGCATAACTCAAGAACCGTTCAATATTGTTCAACAAAACTTGGTAGATATATGAAACAGAACCTTGAGGGGTGCCTTTGCTATTTGCAGATTTTGGCATTTTATTTTTCCCGGTTTCCATGGAAACATTTTGGACTTAGTCTCCAAAAGTAAGGATTGCTTTTCGCTTCCGAGCATAACTCAAGAACCGTTCAGTATTTCTCAACAAAACTTGGTAGATATATCAAACAGATCCTAAAGTGGTGCCTTTTGCTATTTGCAGATTTTTGGCATTTTTATTTTTCCCGGTTTCCATGGAAACGATTCAGACTTAGTCTCAAAAGTGAGGGGTGGGCTTCGTTTCCGGAGCATAACTCAAAAACCGCTCAATATTTTTCAACAAAACTTGGTAGATATGTGAGGCAGATCCCAAAGTGGTGCCTTTTGCTATTTACAGATTTTTGGCATTTTTATTTTTCCCGGTTTCCATGGAAACGATTCGGACTTAGTCCCAAAAGTGAGGGGTGGGCTTCGTTTCCGGAGCATAACTCAAGAACTGTTCAATATTGTTCAACAAAACTTGGTAGATATGAAACAGAACCTTGAGTGGTGCCTTTGGTATTTGCAGATTTTTTCATTTTAATTTTTCCTTGGTTTCCATGGAAACATTTTGGACTTAGTCTCAAAAGTAAGGATTGCTTTCATTTCTGGAGCATAACTCAAGAACCGTTCAATATTTTTCAACAAAACATGGTAGATATATCAAACAGATCCTAAAGTTGTGCCTTTTGCTATTTGCAGATTTTGGCATTTTTATTTTTCCGGTTTCCATGGAAACGATTCAGACTTAGTCCCTAAAGTGAGGGGTGGGCTTCGCTTCCGAGCACAACTCGAAAACTTCTTAATATCTTTCAGCAAAACTTAGCAGATATGTGAGGCAGATGCTATTTGCAGATATTTGTGATTTATTATTTTCTCAGTTTCCATGGAAACAATTTGGACTTAGTCTAAAATCAAGCTGGACTTTAAGTAACTGTCAGATGATTTGTTCTTTCAAAGATGTGGGGGTCGGGGATATGTCATCTTCTGATGACTCTTGTTTGTGTTATCCTGGTACAGTCCGTTTGAGTCAGAACGCGATTCAATGAATTGCAAATTTGATCATTGTACAAAATTGCCACTTTAATATAAATAGTACACATGTTTATCATTTACTAATATCCAACAGCTTTCTTATATTTGAAAATTTTCCGGATTCCACCAACAAAGTTGTTTAAGAAAACGCAAAAAGTTGTTATCTGTCGCAGCGGGGTGAAACAGCAGAAACAAAACATGCCAGTCATGGCGGGGGGACATCTCAAAATCTATTCCGGGAGACCTGTCGGTTGCTCGTCCGTGTTAGTGTCATAGTCACGACTTAAAGGGATGACAAGTGGTGCCACAGTTGCCTGTTGTAAGCCATCCCGAGACCAGTAACCTTGTTCAATGACGTTAGCTACCTTGTTGACACAGTTTTGCCAAGTTTCAGTCGTGATTTTGTTAAGGGATTCCTTAACCAAAACCTCTACGTCACGTAATCTAAAAGTTGTGTTTGATCTGGCAACATCTCCTTTGACAATACCCCATATCATTTCAATGGGGTTAAGGTCACAGTGATAGGGTGGAAGTCGCAGAATATCGTGACCCTTACTTTTTATGTAACTGTCAACTTTGTAGAAAGCTTCACCTTTGTGGGTTTTTATGATCTCATATAGCTGAGGCTCCGTTGCCTTTGAAGGCCATGCGATCTGAAATTTGTCGAGGCATGATATCATATCACCTTTTTGACTGTTCGATGTCGGGGCTTTACTGTCGGGGGTCCTGCGCTGTGGTATGGGGCATATCCATTACGATAAAAGACTTCTCTGGTAGAGCTGGTACCAACTTGTTTTTAACTTAATCGAGGAAAACCGCGACCATTCATCTCGGAATGGTAGTCTCTGTTATCTGGATGGACTTTGCCCTGAATACCAAATTCAGCAGCCTGGGAGAAAGCCTTCGCTGGAGCAACAAGCATGGAGTCTCTCTCCTTTCCCTAGAGGCAGCTTTCTACGTGACCCCTTTATCACCCCCATCGGGTACCCACTGACTGCTGGCAGTGTGCGAGACATTGACCCAGGTCTCGTCCAGTACACTGGCTCGAACCCTTCCTCGCTTCTTCTTTATAACCCTGAGAAAATTATTTCTCGCCGAAGGATATCAGGGCGTTCACAGAGTACTGACCTATTCTCCTCGAATTTTTCTTATAACGATACCTGAAAGAGTGTAAGAGTCGCCAGAGTGTGTACTTTGATAATTCTGAGGTTGTGTTCTTGCTTTAAATTTTTATCCCACCGCATATAATGCGGTGGGATATAGTCGTCGCCTAAATCCGTCTGTCCGTCCGTCCGTCCGTCCGTCCGTAATCATTTTGTTTCGGAGCATAACTCAAAGACCGTTCGATATTTTTAACCAAAATTGGTAGATATGTCAAACATAACCTAAGGTGGTGCCTTTTGCTATTTACAGATTATTGTCATTTTTATTTTTCTCGGTTTCCATGGAAACGTTTTGGACTTAGTCTTAAAGAAGGGTGGGCTTCGTTTCCGGAGCATAACTCAAGAACCATTCAGTATTTTTCAACAAAACTTGGTAGATATATCAAACAGATCCTAAAGTGGTGCCTTTTGCTATTTACAGATTTTTGGCATTTTATTTTCCCGGTTTCCATGGAAACAATTCAGACTTAGTCCCAAAAGTGAGGGTGGGCTTCGTTTCCGAGCATAACTCAAGAACCGTTCAATATTTTTCAACAAAAGTTGGTAGATATATCAAACAGAACCATGAGGGGTGCCTTTTGCTATTTACAGATTTTGTCATTTTTATTTTTCCGGTTTCCATGGAAACATTTTGGACTTAGTCCCCAAAAGTAAGGATTGCTTTCGTTTCCGGAGCATAACTCAAGAACCATTCAATATTTTTCAACAAAACTTGGTAGATATATCAAACAGATCCTAAAGTTGTGCCTTTTGCTATTTGCAGATTTTTGGTATTTTTATTTTTCCCGGTTTCCATGGAAACGATTAGGACTTAATCCCAAAAGTGAGGGGTGGGCTTCGTTTCGGAGCATAACTCAAGAACCGTTCAATATTTTTCAACAAAACTTGGTAGATGTATGAAACAGAACCTTAAGTGGTGCCTTTTGCTATTTGCAGATTTTTGGCATTTTTATTTTTCTTGGTTTCCATGGAAACATTTTGGACTTAGTCTCAAAAAGCAAGGATTGCTTTCGTTTCCGGAGCACAACTCAAAAACCGTATAATATTTTTCAACAAAACTTGGTAGATATATCATACAGATCCTAAAGTTGTGCCTTTTGCTATTTGCAGATTTTTGGCATTTTTATTTTTCCCGGTTTCCATGGAAACGATTCGGACTTAATCCCAAAAGTGAGGGGTGGGCTTCGTTTCCGGAGCATAACTCAAGAACCGTTCAATATTTTTCAACAAGACTTGGTAGATATATCAAACAGAACCTAAAGTGGTGCCTTTTGCTATTTGCAGATTTTTGGTATTTTTATTTTCCCGGTTTCCATGGAAACGATTCGGACTTAATCCCAAAAGTGAGGGGTGGAAGCCGTTTCCGAGCATAACTCAAGAACCGTTCAATATTTTTCAACAAAACTTGGTAGATGTATGAAACAGAACCTTAAGTGGTGCCTTTTGCTATTTGCAGATTTTTGGCATTTTATTTTTCTTGGTTTCCATGGAAACATTTTGGACTTAGTCTCAAAAGTAAGGATTGCTTTTCGTTTTCCGGAGCACAACTCAAAACCGTGATAATATTTTTCAACAAAACTTGGTAGATATATCAAACAGATCCTAAAGTTGTGCCTTTTGCTATTTGCAGATTTTTGGCATTTTTTTATTTTCCCGGTTTCCATGGAAACAATTCAGACTTAATCCCAGAAGTGAGGGGTGGGCTTCGTTTCGGGCACAACTCAAAAACCTCTCTATATCTTTCAGCAAAACTTAGCTGAGGCAGATCCCAAAGTGGTGCCTTTTGCTATTTGCAGATATTTGTGATTTATTATTTTCTCGGTTTCCATGGAAATGATTAGGACTTAGTCTCAAAAGGAAGGGATGGGTTTTTTCGAACACAACTGGAAAACTTCTTAATATCTTTCAAAACTTGGCAGATATGTGAGGCAGATGCCAAAGTGGTGCCTTTGCTATTTGCAGATATTTGTGATTTATTATTTTCTCAGTTTCCATGAAAACAATTTGGACTTAGTCTCAAAAGGGAGGGTAGGTTTTGTTTCGCGAAAACTTCTTAATATCTTTCAGCAAAACTTGGCAGATATGTGAGGCAGATCCCAAAGTGGTGCCTTTTGCTATTTGCAGATTTTTGTCATTTATTTTTTCATGATTTCCATGGAAGCGATTTGCACTTAGTCTAAAATCAAGCTGGACTTTAAGTAACTGTCAGATGATTTGTTCTTTCAAAGATATCGGGGGATATGTCATCTTCTGATGACTCTTGTTTAATTTTCATTAAAACTTAACATCAGTTAAGTTTGAAAATTCAAATTCACCTGAGCATTTTTGTGTCATGATGATATTGCTAGTTGTTTATCTGTATGACTGTTTGAAAGGGGAAGTTTGACGTTTGACCTTTTCATGCCCAGTGGGCATTAAGACGGGATAAACCCTGATGATCTTCTTCACAATTTGTTGTAGTGTATACATCAACTGATCAAAACATATGCCAGTAGGCCACCATGATTAATTTTCAGTACTTGATAATGTGTGCAGTAATTTACTAAAACAGTAAAATGATGAGTTGGGAATGAAAACTGTAACTAACAAAATTAGGCCAGACAACATGGTCTGGCCGAATTTTATTTAGTTTCAGTTTTCTGTGGTTTGGATTAGTGTACTAGCTCAGTACCTTTCATTCACAGCAATGCCGAGAATACCATGTCATGTTTCATATTTTATTAACCTCTCCATGCCCAACTTGTTCAACATTGAACTGACTTGTCAGTTGATGAAACGCACTCACTCACTCACTATCTGATGATGACATGTACAGGAACACTCGCTGGAGGCCCACCAGGAGCGGATGAACTTCCAGAAGGCCAGGATTGTGGAGGTGAACCAGCAGCTGCGGACCCTCACAGACAGCTCAGAGAAGGTAATATTTAACTCTCTGAACTTGACAACAACACTGGTTCATTGGCTTCTGTCTTGTAAATATTCTAAAGGTCACATGTTTGACACCAACGTTGGTCCATTGCAACACATGTGTTCATTGGATTGCACTTTCTGAGAATGTAATGTATTCAGTCCCATCCAGGATTAGAACCCACACTCTCAGACTTTGGCACCTAATCACCGCTCTCAAAGTCCACTGGCCTCTGTCTTGTCCATTTTCTGAGAACCAGTGAAATGAATCAATGGTTGTATGGTGTCAAGTGGTATATTGAGGGTACTGGTGGGTATTTTTATGATGTGTGGCATCCGTGTTCCAGGGCTTTCCACTTCACATGAACCTGGCCATGGGTCCGTCGCCCAACCTGCACATGAACAACAACTCTCTCAAGATGCTCAAAGACCAGAACCGACAGCTCACCAAGGTGACAATTAACTGTGTGCTTGTTTATCCCCATGTTCTTCAGGTATCCACAGGATTCCCTACAGTTAATGATGTTGGCTGATTTATGTTTCTCATTTTCATTTTATCTATTTTTACTCTGTCTTGATGTATAGGTCTTCAATATCCAGGGCCTTTGGTACTTCCTTAGCATGTGGTCCTGTGCACAGCGTGAACAATATACGTTAAGGATGTTTGGTGTGAAGCGTAGATGGATGGTTAGACTAACTGAGAGTTCTGACCCACAGCATGTGAAGCGTGTGTGGTGTTACCTTAGACAGGTGACAAATGCTTCGCGTGTTCATCCAGCACTGAAAGGGTACCCGGTAGGATAGGTAATGTGACTGTCAACCTTACATCACTTCACAGGCAGTTTGGGTTGTATATTCCCCAGGAAGATGATTGATTGGTTACAGAATATCAATTCTAACATCGGGTCCCAGGGAGCTGAGAATACAAATCGATTGAGTAATAATAATGTAGGGACATGAGTTTTCACACAGTGAGTGACACATACATTGACCTCTATGTCACAGACTCTGATGTTATTGACCAATGAAGATCCGAGCTAGAAATGTCTTCAGCAACCCATGCTTGTCGTAAGAGGCGATTATCGGGATCGGGTGGTCAGGCTTGCAGTCTTGGTTGACACATGTCATCGTATCCCAGTTGTGTAGATCGATGCTCATACCGTTGATCACAATATTGTCTGGTCCAGACTAGATTATTTACAGACCGCCGCCATGTAGCTGTAATGTTGCTGAGTGCGGCGTAAAACTAAACTCTCTCACTCACTCACAGATTCGACTATTTACAGAGCGCTACCACATAGCTGGAATATTGCTAATGGCTGCATTAAACAGCAAGAAAACAAACAAACTGATTTCACTGACTCTCTCCTCCCATCTCTCATTCCAGGAGGTGAGTCAGAAGAGTGACAAGATAACTCAGCTGGAGCAGGAGAAGTCCACCCTCATCAGGGAGCTGTTCGAGTCCCGCTCCAAACACAAGACTAACTACGATGACACAACGTTCATGTAGACAACACAGAACAAGTCAGCATCCATCAACCGCTGACATTCAAGGAACTGTTAGGACTCATTTGTAATCATTTCTTCAAGGGTTGTGATCATGCATATTATTTGCAGGATATAAAACATGCATCTCAAGTACTAAACCTACTGATCCTATTTAATAGGTGAGACAATCTATGTGTTGTTTTAGTTTGTTTGATTAGGATTAACAACATTGCTAAATGCACCATACGAGGTGTGCATACACCGAAGGCTTATCAGCGAATACTAACACAAAACTGTTCATGGATATATTTAACAACTAATTTTAGACCATGAGACTTACAGCAGTTATGGTTACATAAGAACCAGGATGAGGTGCCAACCCTGTTTTGGTATGTCTGATGTCTGATGCCCTTTTTAGTGGTATTCCAGATACACTAGATTCTGTGAAGCGTTTACCTGGTACATGGATGCCAGACTTTCAGTGAGGAAGTTGCTTCTGATTTTATGTCCTGTGTAGGACTTCAAAGGATTTAAATGACTGCCAAGCAGTTTAGTTTTGTATCGGGACAGAGCAATATAACATGGCAATGTAGGTTGTGAAATTATCACTGGTTGACCATGATGTCGCCATCCCACAGCTGTGAAGCTGTCACTGTCACCATGGTTGCCCATGATGTCACCATCACACAGCTGTGAAGCTGTCACTGTCACCATGGTTGTCCACGATGTTGCCATCACACAGCTGTGAAGGTGTCACTGTCACCATGGTTGTCCACAATGTCGCCATCTCACAGCTGTGAAACTGTCATTGTCACCATGGTTGTCCATGATGTCGCCATCACACAGCTGTGAAGCTGTCACTGTCACCATGGTTGTCCACGATGTTGCCATCACACAGCTGTGAAACTGTCATTGTCACCATGGTTGTCCATGATGTCGCCATCACACAGCTGTGAAGCTGTCACTGTCACCATGGTTGTTCACGATGTTGCCATCACAAAGCTGTCACTGTCACCATGGTTGTCCATGATGTTGCCATCACACAGCTGTGAAGCTGTCACTGTCACCATGGTTGTCCATGATGTTGCCATCACACATTTTTGAAGCTGTCACTGTCACCATGGTTGTCCATGATGTCGCCATCACACAGCTGTAAAGCTGTCACTGTCGCCATGGTTGTCCATGATGTTGCCATCACACAGCTGTGAAGTTGTCACTGTCACCATGGTTGTCCACAATGTTTGCCATCACACAGCTGTGAAGCTGTCACTGTCACCATGGTTGTCCATGATGTTGCCATCACACATTTTTGAAGCTGTCACTGTCACCATGGTTGTCCATGATGTCGCCATCACACAGCTGTGAAGCTGTCACTGTCACCATGGTTGTCCATGATGTTGCCATCACACATTTTTGAAGCTGTCACTGTCGCCATGGTTGTCCATGATGTTGCCATCACACAGCTGTGAAGCTGTCACTGTCACCATGGTTGTCCATGATGTTGCCATCACACATTTTTGAAGCTGTCACTGTCACCATGGTTGCCCATGATGTCATCATCACACAGCTGTGAAGCTGTCACTGTCACCATGGTTGTCCATGATGTTGCCATCACACAGCTGTGAAGCTGTCACTGTCACCATGGTTGTCCACGATGTTGCCATCACACATTTTTGAAGCTGTCACTGTCACCATGGTTGTCCATGATGTCATCATCACACAGCTGTGAAACTGTCACTGTCACCATGGTTGTCCATGATGTCGCCATCACACAGCTGTGAAGCTGTCACTGTCACCATGGTTGTTCCACGATGTTGCCATCACACAGCTGTGAAGCTGTCACTGTCACCATGGTTGTCCATGATGTTGCCATCACACAGCTGTGAAGCTGTCACTGTCACCATGGTTGTCCATGTCACCATCACAAAGCTGTGAAGCTGTCACTGTCACCATGGTTGTCCATGATGTCGCCATCACACAGCTGTGAAGCTATCACTGTCACCATGGTTGTCCATGTCACCATCACAAAGCTGTGAAGCTGTCACTGTCACCATGGTTGTCCATCACACAGCTATCACTATGATCTACCCTGTTGTTAAATCCTACAATCACAAATAGTAGGGCTCAGGTAGTCAACTAGTCCCTACAGGGTTATGTCCCTTGCCTGCCAGAGCCATCATGTTTGGTTCAGATCACCCAGAATCTCATGGTTTAACCATGTAGTAAGACAAACGTCTGGTCTTACCCTCTGTCAGTAACAGACAGGACTGAATTATTGTCAACAGAGTTCTTCAATCCCATCTCACTTGCATTCGCGGCGTGCATAATAAGAAATAGTCACTTTAGGGTCTGTCGTCCGGTTAACGAAGTCAGATGATAAGTTGTATTCCGCTGGTGTACAGTGATACCCTGTCTAGAACAGACCCTGTCAGTAGAGACCTTGTCAGTTAAGACCTCATCAGTAAAGTAAGTCTAGTCCTTGTTAATTAAGTAAACCTGTAAGTGAAGACCCTGTTATCCAAGACCTGGGGTGGTGGGGTAGCCTAGTGGTTGAAGTGTTCGCTCATCACACATGGGTACAATGTTTTCAGCCCATTTCTGGTGTCCCCTGCTGTGATATTGCATCAAACCTGACTCACTCACTACCTCAGTATCCAAAACCCTTTATATGTTGATGGATGACAGTTTGTCCCAAAACCATTTCTTCCTGATTGTCAATTATGTAGAATGAAAACAAATGTTGAGCTTCAAGAAAGTCTTTTCACAATCAAGCCGTTCTCGAATGAGATTCAAACTTACTCAGAGACATTGTTGTGTTTGATTATTTTATACTTAAATACATAGGAACACTTAATTGGACTTTCGCAGCCATTTTCCATTATATCACAACAAAACTGAACTGCTCTCCATCAATTAGTTGATCTCGCGCGGGGCACCAGAAATGGGCTTCACACATTGTAACCTTGTGGGGAATTGAACCCGTGAAGAGCGAACACATTAACCACTAGCCTACCCCGCCACCCAGCACAATGTTTAATCACAGAGTTTCACTGTTTCCCATATGCCTCCGTACATTTATACATATGAAGTCATATCTAATCTTCCAATGTTGACAGTGATCTCATGCTGGCTGAAGAAACCCGACAGTGGTTACTCATTCTTTAGTTCGTTGTCCACCAGTAATTTCAAACCAGTTTTTCTAAAGAACAAGTTTTTGATGATTGTTGAAGTCATCCCCAGATTTTCATCATGGTGCTTGGACCAATATTGCATTTTGTACAATACCCTTACTTTGACATTATGTGAAAGTTGTAGCCTAGCTGGCATTTCATTGTATCCATTGTATCCATTGTTGTATCCGTTGTCTCATTTGTGTGTATGTTTACCCCGGCTAAAGCCACACACATGTGATACATGTGGTCTCACCTTAGGCAAGTGAGTTTGTTCAAAATTGTCTCTGTTCACCCAGCAGAAAATGGGTACCCAGTGGGATAAGTCATGTGACTATAACCTTCTAGTGCCTCACAGGTAGCTTGGGTTATCCGGGGTAATAATGAACGGTGACTTGTATGCTTAGAGCATGTCCCTCAGTGATGTGGATGAGGCGCTATAAAAGTTCTCTTATTATTATTATTATATATTCAAACCATTATTGGGAAGGTGGGATCGGGGTGGGGGCGGTACATGTGTAAACTTGTCAATGCTTTTGTTCAGTGTTAATTGGGAAATAAATATAATGAAGACGTGCATGACCTGTGTATCGGAGAGCTGAATGCACATCGTTGAAAGGGCGGTGGGGTGGCCTAGTGGTTAAAGCATCCACTTGTCATGGGTGATAGAGTACATGTATCTGAATTACATTTTAGCTCATGTACATTAGCATCATTGTCAATCAGTAGGGGAGCACTTCTCACTTCAGTTCCACAGATCAGCATCAATTGGAGCCCTGGACTCCAGTCCACAAAAGCTCGGACAATGAAAAGCACCCCTCTTTGGGCACTCTAAAGGTTGTGGAATGGGATCCTGGTCTGGCACTGATTTGACCTTATGGAGTAGCATTGAGAGTGCTCTCAGCCTTATGGAGTGGCGCTGAGAGCGCTCTCGGCCTTATGGAGAGGCAGAGCCATGGAGGGGCATTGAGAACACTCTCGGCCTTATGGAGCTCTGGGCATGGAGAGGGCTGAGACTCTGGGCTTATGGAGTGGCATTGAGAGTGCTCTCGGCTGTATGGAGCGGCACTGAGTGCGCTCTCGGCCTTATGGAGGGGCATTGAGAACACTCTCGGCCTTATGGAGTGGCACTGAGAGTGCTCTCAGTCTTATAGAGCGGCATTGAGAGCTCTCTCAGCCTTATGGAGCAGCATTGTCTAGTCATGTTTGAAAACAAGAGTCTGATTTCGAGGTGTTCATGTTAATAAGTCTGAAGTTATGACAAGCATATACAAGTCTATATTCTATAAAAATATCTATACTGTGTTACAATTTGTTGAATTATATATATATATTGTAAGATGTATGTATATATATATATATACAAAAGATATTTTGTGTTAATGATATTTTAGTAAAAGTGTAGCAATTTTAGATACATAACTCTTCCCTAATGGCAATAATTCAGTACCTTGTATTGTGTGTATGCTTGAATCATGTAAATCCATAATGTAATCAATGCTTTAACTCTGATAGTCAGTGGCTGTCCAGTATTGATGTTGTTTTAGAGGAAGTACATAATACTGATGTGTATTAGATTCTCATAATATCTCACTTCTTCCACAGAGAAGTCAAGAAACTGAATGTCCCAGTCTCACTAGTAAAACATGTTCAACACTTGTGGCAAAGCAACCGTGAAGATCCGAGTTAAAATTGGTCTTCAGTAACCCATGCTTGTCGTAAGAGGCGACTAACGGGATCTGGTGGTCAGGCTCGCTGACTTGGTTGACACGTCATTGTATCCCAACTACGCAGATCGATGCTCATGCTGTTGATCACTGTATTGTCTGGTCCAGACTCGATTATTTACAGACCGCTGTCATATAGCTGGAGTATTGCCGAGTGCAACGTCAGACTAAACTCACTCACTCACTTGTGGCCATGCATGTTGGTGTAGGGTGTACTTTAGGTTTTAGATTTTTATGTCAAAAAATACATTCCCAACTGCTCACACCTGTGACCAGAGGTTGTCCTTATAGGTATAATGGAGCTGAACTGAAGTTGACCATATGGAACAAGACCGTTTTCAGTCTGGATATAAAGATTTTACAAATACACTGGCCCACTAGACTGGGGCCTGTAATCATTGTTTAGGACCGGTGACTTACAGAACCTCTTTAGTGAAGACCCTTTTATTCCTTAAAATTTCCCATTCCGGGCAAATACATAATAAATGCTCACCCATTATTTAATTGTTGAGATATTTCTTAATCCAGGTAAATCCATTATGACTGAGTGAGTTTAGTTTTACGCCGCTTTAACAAAATTCCAGCAATATCAGGGCGGGGAACTAAATCCATTAAGACCTATTCAGTGTATTCAGTGTAGGTTTCATGGTAGAAAATACAGAGATAAACATATTGTAAAATGTATTGTTCGAAAATTATTTTGTGTTCTGCAAGTTAGACTAGGTACTTTAAATGTTACCAAACAGATTACAATAACAAAAAAAAAAAATATATTGGAAAGAAACATAACTTGTCTCATCAGACCATTTTCATATGTTTGATAACAATAGACTCTATTTGATTTTTTGTGTGATTTTAGGCCACAATAAACTGACAAAAGGTTTCTAAGATGTGAACCTCAGTGCACTTACATTTTGTTATTCCGTTCACAATAAAATAGCTTCTGTGTATGATAATTGTGGACAGATGTTACTTGTATTAAGCATGAACATTGGGTTGAAATAATATATTCCAGCAGGGAAGAATTATAAACCTATTTGAAGTAATATTGTCACTGTGACATGTCCTGAAACGTCTTTCTCTAATTTTGGATGCAGGCAGGAATTTAACCTTCATAAAATAATATTCACTCTGAACATGGCAAGCAGATAGAAGGTAAAAAAGTCTTAGACTCACGTTCTTGTACATCCCACCTTTTAAAACTGTCCCATCCCAAACTTCTCCAACTATCAAACCTGTCCTGTTCATGTTTAAACAAAGGTAGATAACTCTGTATTACTCTTGCTGCAGTCAAGATCATTCAACATTTGGCCAACACTTCAATTATTTACGCCAAAGACAACTACTAAAATCTAATAGGTATATATTATGGCCTCATAAGAATCACATATTCATGATAATGCATGATAATTATATATTTGTTCAGTAATGATATTTTCTTACTAACCTGAAATAAGTGTACAATATTTATGATAAGTTGCATGAGAACAACAAAGAGATGGTTGGACTTCCTCTTGCTCAATATATAGACTTGCATTTACTCATTGAAAGGGTAGAAGTAACATGATAGATCTCACATAGATCACTGGAAGTGACAGATGTAGTAAGCTCAGAAACTTCGACTTGGCGAGGTTTTATTGTGTTTGATTCGAGGCGGGAGAATTGGCGTTTAGATGAACAACAATGGCATTTGAAACGTCATCTATGTTTGTGTCCAGGTTTAGCAACAGCATACCTTTCATTGTTTATGTGTGGTACTCTTCATGTAGAGCTTCTTTACATGTCTATTAATCTTGCTGTGATTTTCTAGTATTTGTTACGGTGTCTACATTTGAATGAAGTATTCCGATTCAATGGTTTATGGTGATTTTTAGACATGATTTTTCTATTATTTGCTTGTTACATTTTTTTCTGAGTTTATTTGAGATAATATGGTTTTGTGATTTTGTGATATTGTTTTCAGCTTAGTGTAGTAAACATAGATGTCATATTTTTTTGTTTTAAGTCTTGGAAAGGCCAGGAGACAAAGTGGAAATTGTACAGAGAATGCCTCTATATTTATGATGGGGGCTAGTATTTTTTTTATGGATCACAGGAAAATTATTTTGAAAAAAAAATATATATCCAAAAATGATTAATGATTACTCAGCATTTCAATAGTATCTACAATAAAAATACATGCATGAGGACTAACCACTTCATCAATCCCTGTTTCTTAAATATTTTAACAGATCTGAAAGTCTGGCCTTTATACTATAAAGAAATCTATTCTACTTGACCTCCAGTCCACTTACTGTTAAAGGACTCAAAGGCAGGCTGGTGTAAGGCCACCTGGATCTTTGGAGATATGCATTCTGTGATCATAAAACATAAAGTAATAATGGTCTTGTTTTAATCTGTGTGTGTTAATTGAGCTTTTGTACCTGGACCTGTGACAGGATCGAATAAAGACGCTTTACCCAAGTTGCTGATACATACAGTTCAAAGCGTAAATAAATGAATTGATTCATGATTCATGGCTATGACTTTGTTGTTTTTGGTTTAACTTTGACCACCACTGCAGCAGAATCACTGCATGTTGGTGATATATAATCAATGCCAATCTAATAGACATTTACCAGATTGTGAAACACAAGAATTGTTATGAATACACAATGCCAGTTAGAAAGTGGTCAAATGTAACATATGTTATGTTTGGGATTACACTTTTGAACTCACACCCTCAGAGTCAGGCACCTCATCGCCAGCAAACAAAGTCAGCCGCCTAACCCACTCAGCCACTGTGACTTCCACAAAAAACCTCGGACAACTGGTAGTCTAAACCACGGACTTTGTGTACCCTCTGATAAGTGTAAATTCGCGGCTGAAGAAGCGGTGGCTGAGTGGGTTAGACAGCTGACTTTGTGTGCTGGCGAGTGAGCTGGTTATAATGAGTGAGCTGATGTCACACCACTGGTTTGTCAGATTCAGTCAACTCCGTACAGTGAGTGAGTTTAGTTTTACACCGCTTTAGCTATATTCAAGCAATATCACGGCAGGGGACACCAGAAATTGGCCTCACTGTACCCATGTGGGGAATCAAACCCAGGTCTTCAGCGTGACAAATGAACACTTTAACCACCAGACTAAGCTTCACGTTCATGCAGAACATGATAACAAACACAAATGTGTATTTATCTGTTCATTTATTACTTATTCAAGCAAACTCATGTTGAAATCATGACCTGATCAAAAACACAGACAGATTTACTTATTTATTTAGTTCATTTACCTAAATGAAGCTGAAACATTATTAATAATCAAAAACATGATTCTTTAATGTTTGGACCTTCAGTTGATCAGCAAAATAGAGCAGAATCTTAGGACTGAGCACAAAGGATGCCAAGAGTCTGATACTGCAGTGCAGCATACCTAGTTTAAATCTGACACGTTTGTAACAAGTCCGTGGGCATTTTAGGAAAGAAAAACATACATGTGTTGTGAAAGTGACAAGACTGGGTGCTCCGACTCTCTGATTTACCTGAATGCATGTCCTGATTGGCTTGCGACATTGCTCTTGATATTAATTACCAGTTTGTCTGGTCCGGACTTAATCACACGCAGCTGTCATAGCTTGGACATCGTGGAGTGAGGCAGGTACACATTAGTGTAGTTTTGGTGCTGTGTTTTGAAACATTCCAGCTGGATCACCAGAAATGGATTTCAGATAATGGCTTGCTCCAAAGAACAACACCTGTATGATCATACTACTATTCCAAAGATGTTAAAAATACAAAACAATTAACATCCATTTATATTTGAGTGATTATCTCACATCAATTACTAAGTTGAAAAGGAAATAAAATAGCAACAAATTCCAGCACCTGAATAGTAAATGTGACAGTGTTAGTGACTAGTTGGTGTTGAGATCCCTGCAGTACCTCCAGTGAGTCATGAAGACAACCATTAGTTCATGCTTCTGAAGTGTTCAGATTATTTTAAACAAAGAAGATTTTGTTGAAATCTGAGTCTAAAATTTTGAAAATATTTAATTGTCAACATGTCCTGATTCACGTTGGACCACTTTTATAAAACTGCTACATTTATGATAAACTTTTCCTTTTCACTTGTCATGGACAAGCCCACAGTTGAGGGATGTTCATGGTTAAGTGATGTTTCTTCTTGGAAGCTTTACTGTTTAGCAGCCTTTCCTTACAGTGTAAACAGACACAGACAGAGATCATACACTGCACTCATCACCATACTGTAAACCAATCCAAATATATTCAGGAATGTACCCGTAGGTGGTTTCTGAAAACTACAAATAAGTTTCTTGCGGATAAAACGAAAACAGAAGAAACTGGTAAAATAAGGTGCTCTTGGTGTTGAGAAATGAAACCTAGATAACAAGATCTAAAGTGTTGGTTATTAGGCTCTCACTCTCTCCCTGTTATCTGACACAGACCATCTATCAGCTGTTGGCTGAACAGCTAAGTGTGACAAGAGGCTGTACAATTGTCTGGAAGGACTCCTTTAACAAGAGAACATTGCTACAAGTATTTATGAACACTCACTGGTTAGCACTGTTGACAAATGATTTATGCAAATTTATTCATCTCAAGTTTTGTGAACCAATTAAACAAGATTCACTTATGGTTGACATCACATATGTCTATCAAAATTATCCACGGCCTTGTGAGCTTCCAAGTCATTGTAATTGTAATTAATTACAATTTTATCATTCTATCTATTTGTGTAGTTCTAATATTCACTAACATATATAATTAACATAATTTTGCAAATCTGAAATAACTACATTTCTATGTACAATTATAATGTACAATTCCTTTAAGATTTTCAATATAGACTTGAAATTTCAAAAACAAATGTTTGTGTTTTGAGAAACTAGCATGAACAAATTGTTAGCTCAGAAAATACAATGGTTCAGCTGCAACTGACTTTTCAAACATACTGGGAAATGCTTGAAGAATGCTTGGATTAAAAAGACCCTTGTGCTACAGGACTGTTGTTCCCATGGAATTGTTGAGCATCTTAAAGCTGAACTCAGAAACCTGTCTTAAAGCAGGAGAATTCAGCATGTCGAGAACACATCTTTTCAGTTTGCAGATCATCCAGATCGGACTGTTTCACTTTCAGCTGTTGCCAGATGAATCTATCGTGTGTGAGAGTATTGCAGCATGTCTTTTATCACATGAATCTTCTCAAGAAAACATGTCCTCCAAACCATATCCTGACAGAGTTGGATAAATTACAGAATCAGCAAGAATCACTGGAATGTTAGTAATGTGGATAAGGCTTTAGATAATTTGTCTATTTCTTCTGTCAATTGTGACATCTGAAAGTAAAAGAACAAAACATGTATATGACATTTAAGAGATGCACATTTTTTTAGTTTCTCAGGTTTTACTGATTTATTTTTTAGCATATGGATAACATGATTCACGGTGACATCTTGATTCAAGGATGCCATGATTCACGGTGACATCTTGATTCAAGGATGGCATGATTCAAGAATAACATGAGACAGATGGCATCATGATTCAAGGATGGCATGATTCAAGAATAACATGAGACAGGTGACATCTTGATTCAAGGATGGCATGTTTCAAGGATTACATGAGACAGATGGTATCATGATTCAAGGATGGCATGATTCAAGAAGAACATGAGACAGATGACATCTTGATTCAAGGATAACATGAGACAGATGACATCTTGATTCAAGGATGGCATGATTCAAGAAGAACATGAGACAGATGACATCTTGATTCAAGGATAACATGAGACAGATGACATGTTGATTCAAGGATGGCATGGTTCAAGGTTGACATGATTCACGGTGGCATCTTGATTCAAGGATGGCATGATTCAAGAATAACATGAGACAGATGACATCTTGATTCAAGGATGGCATGGTTCAAGGTTGACATGATTCTCGGTGGCATCTTGATTCAAGGATGGCATGATTCAAGAAGAACATGAGACAGATGACATCTTGATTCAAGGATAACATGAGACAGATGACATGTTGATTCAAGGATGGCATGGTTCAAGGTTGACATGATTCACGGTGGCATCATGATTCAAGGATGGCATGTTTCAAGGATAACCTGAGACAGATGGTATCATGATTCAAGGATGACATGATTCAAGGATTACATGAGACAGATGGTATCATGATTCAAGGATGGCATGGTTCAAGGATAACATGAGACAGATGGTATCATGATTCAAGGATGACATGATTCAAGGATAACATGATTCAAGGATAACATGATTCAAAGATAACATGAGACAGATGGTATCATGATTCAAGGATGACATGATTCAAGGATAACATGAGACAGATGGTATCATGATTCAAGGATGACATGAGACAGATGGTATCATGATTCAAGGATGACATGATGCAAGGATAACATGATTCAAGGATAACATGATTCAAGGATAACATGAGACAGATGGTATCATGATTCAAGGATAACATGAGACAGATGGTATCATGATTCAAGGATGACATGATTCAAGAATAACATGAGACAGATGGTATCATGATTCAAGGATGACATGATTCAAGAATAACACGAGACATGACATCTCGATTCAATGATGGCATGATTCAAGAAAAACATGATTCAAGAATAACATGAGACAGATGGTATCATGATTCAAGGATAACATGATTCAAGGATAACATGAGACAGATGGTATCATGATTCAAGGATGACATGATTCAAGGATAACATGAGACAGATGGTATCATGATTCAAGGATGACATGATTCAAGGATAACATGAGACAGATGGTATCATGATTCAAGGATGACATGATTCAAGGATAACATGAGACAGATGGTATCATGATTCAAGGATGACATGATTCATGGATAACATGAGACAGATGACATCTTGATTCAAGGATGGCATGATTCAAGAATAACACGAGACATGACATCTTGATTCAATGATGGCATGATTCAAGAATAACATGAGACAGATGGTATCATGATTCAAGGATGACATGATTCAAGGATAACATGAGACAGATGACATCTTGATTCAAGGATGGCATGATTCAAGAATAACACGAGACATGACATCTTGATTCAATGATGGCATGATTCAAGAATAACATGAGACAGATGGTATCATGATTCAAGGATGACATGATTCAAGGATAACATGAGACAGATGGTATCATGATTCAAGGATGACATGAGACAGATGGTATCATGATTCAAGGATGACATGATTCAAGGATAACATGATTCAAGGATAACATGATTCAAGGATAACATGAGACAGATGGTATCATGATTCAAGGATGACATGATTCAAGGATAACATGAGACAGATGGTATCATGATTCAAGGATGACATGATTCAAGGATGACATCATAATATATGAATGATTTCATGATTCACAGATTAAATCAACTGGGTCTATTTTTTATATTTCACAAAAATCTGGAGGTCTGGTACCCACCTTATCTGTATTCTGGTTCCTGACGTCCAGGGGCACCTTGTCGCTGTAGTCGGGTTTGGCTGCAGCATCCTCCAGCTTCTTCAGAGACTTGCCCAGTGTCTCCTTCTTCCCTTCCAGCTTCTTTGTCTCCTTCTCCACATCAATCAAGCCCTGCAGTACATAGACACGACACTCACTGAACGCTTTCAACGCTGCTCTCAGCTATATTTCTTATAGTAAGCAGGTACAGCTCACTCAGCTATATGTAAATCTTATAGTAAATAGGTACAGCTCTCACTGAACGCTTTCAACGCTGCTCTCACCTATATGTAAATCTTATAGTAAACAGGTACAGCTCTCACTGAATGCTTTCAACGCTGCTCTCAACTACATTTAAATCTTATAGTAAACAGGTATAGCACTCACTGAATGCTTTCAACGCTGCTTTCATTAATATTCAACCTATACCATGGTGTTTTGGAAATACAGGGTGCCGAACAGTCCTGTAGTTGAATGGTGAATGGTGCTGTATTATCATGAAACACTAGTCACGTACTGTAGTGAGGCAGGATTTGAATACACAGCTTTTTCAGTACAGCATCTGAACTCAAGGCTTTTTTTATGCATAATCTAAATTCAAGGTTTTTTTATGCATAATCTGAACTCAAGCTTTTTTTATGCACAATCTCAATTCAAGGCTTTTTTATGCATAATCTGAATTCAAGGTTTTTCAGAGCAGCATCTTAATTCAAGGCTTTTTCAGAGCAGCATCTGAATTCAAGGCATTTTCAAGTCCGAGCCAAAACCTGTACATGAGGAACAGTAAGACATTTAATGTTGATAATTATGATGAACCACACAACCATGAGTAGTGGCAATTCTGTTACTCTCTCACCTTGAGCATGAGATGCGCTTCACACTTGGATGACACAGTGAGCATGGCACATCCATCAGGAACAGAGTCGGACACTAGGACGTGGACGGCACTTGAGTTGGTCAGGGTCTGGATGACGTCAGTGAACAGCTTCACCTTGCTGGACGTGTCCTCATCAGTACACTTCACGTACACTGGAAGAAACAGATGAGCTCGTGTTAGGACCACAACCACTCAAGCTTAGCTCGTGGGAGTAAGTATGGTTTAATGCAGCTGTTAGCAATATTCCAGCAATATCATGACAGGAGACACCAGAAATGGGCCTCACACATTGTACCCATGTGGGGAATCGAACTGTAAATTCAGTGTGACAAGCGAACACTTTCACATCTGTGACAGTGAACACTTGTTCGAGGGATCCCAACGTTGAAATGGTTAATCAGTTTCAATTTTACATTAATATCTGTAAGATCTATTCTGTTAGCATTAGCAATGTGAGTGCTCCTCAGTCATCAATACTGTGATATAAATAGTTACCACATAACAGGGCTAAATGTTACCAGGAACATTTCATGGTAGCCTGTTGTCAGCAATATTCATAGCATTTGTTTGTTTGTTGGTTGTTTAACGCTGCACTCAGCAGTATTCAAGCTCAATGGCAGCGGCCTGCAAATAATCTAGTCTAGACCACACAATCCAGTGATCAACAGCATGAGCATCAATCTACGCAATTGGGATATGATGACATGTGACAACCAAGTCAGCGAGCCTGACCACCCAATCCTATTAGTCGTCTATTATGACAAGCATGGGTTACTGAAGACCAAATGTAACCCGGATCTCAAGGTCTTGTGAATGGGGCCCTGTATTGGAGTTCAATGTTATCAAGGTCTCAACATCCACAAGTCCTATGGCATACCATCAGCTGTTGTCTTGGGGGTGAGGTTGTAGTCAGCCCGCATTGATCGGATGTTCTTCACGATACTCTGTGCGAACTCAACACTGGATTCCAAGTCAGTGTCTCGATGCTGCATCTGCATCAGAAAGATAAACATCAGTGTTGTCTCGCCATGTCTTGTACATAGGGCACAAGAACCTAAGCTAGCCTTACAGGTAATTTTGGTCTGTACTAAATCTAGTCTTTTACAAGACAATCTGATGATTGACATAATAAGTATTAATCTTCACAACTGGTTCACAAAGACATGCATCGGGAAGTCAGAGACCCTGCTATTAGATAACAACCCTGAATGTTCTAATCCAGATTTTCACAATAAATCTTGACAATGAATAAGTCTGTTCCACCCATCTTCAAGTTTCACCCATGTACACAACATCCTTGTACATTATGGATGTTTGTTGTTTAAAGGGACAGTGTTCACACATTTTCGACAATATTTTGACCAATATATTTTCTCTCAATAATACTAACTATCAGCCCCCAGGGAAGCTACCATATAATTTATTCCCATTTTTTTAAATGTATTTTTAATATTTAATTAAAAAGTTCGATAGAATTAATGCAACGTTGCATTAAATTGACTCTCATACCCTCTACGGGCGAACAGTATTTCAAGCGAACCCCATAGAGTTATGCCCCTTTGAGTGCTCTTAACGAATGTCCTATGCACAACGTGTGATTGAAACCAGTTTGACAAACACCGACAACACATGTGTGACAGTTTTCGAAGTATGGAGCAATTGTTTACATTCCATATATGGCAAGTGTTATCTGTTTGGAAGCTGTTTGCCTCAAAGTTTCAATTATCGATTTCAGTGAGTGAGTGAGTGAGTGAGTGGAGTGAGTGAGTGAGTGAGTGAGTGAGTGAGTGAGTGAGTGAGTATGGTTTTACGCCGCTTTTAGCAATTTTCCAGCAATATCACGGCAGGGGACACCAGAAATGGGCTTCACACATTGTACCCATGTGGGGAATCGAACCCGGGTCTTCGGTGTGAAGAGCCAATGCTTTAACCACTACCTTACCCCACCGCCCCTATCGATTTCAGGTAAGTCGCAAGGGATAATAAGTCTTTTATTGCATAAATAGGAAGCTAAAGTGAGTGCATATGCCCCCAATATATATATGCATTATTCATTATTAGAGAAGTGTGCTGTGCGCCTTTAATGCTGTACTCAGCAATACTTCAGGTTACCGATAAATGATGAATACATTATGATCAACAAGCTGTAGTGACAAAATGACAGTCCATGGAGCATGACTACCATTTGGTTGCACCTCAAAACTAAGTACTAACAGAACAGGTGTCTCAGGACCAATTCTAACCTATAATTTCCCTCAAGGTCTAGTACATAAACATTTTCTACTTTGAAAAGGTATACAAAAAATGTCTCACATCTGCTGGTAATGGGTAGGCAGTGACACATATACTTGGCGGGGAGTTCTCTTGTCGCCTCGGTAACCGCTGGAACAATTCTTCTGTCAAGAAAGGCATGAAAGGATGAAGAAGTCGCAGTCCAACGTCCAGACACGTGTACAGAACATTGCGGCACACAGCCTTGGCATCCTCATCAGAACCGTACAGGATAGGCTTCATGTACTCCTGAAACAGACGAATGGCTGACTGGGTGAGTGAGTGAGTGAGGTTTAATACCGTCGTGAAGAGTATTCCAGTTATATCAGGTTTCAGACTTTCACCATTTCGGTAGGGTGCTGTCAAACCTAGAACATAGTCAGCTTTACCCATGCAATTTGAATTTGTTTTCTTGGAACAGGAACATCCAGGGGATTAAGTGTACAACGTAAACACTTGTCTAATCTGTGACAAAGTTTCATGAAAATATATAGACACTTTATAGAGTTATGCTCCACAAAATACCACACAACTCACCAGGCACCAGTCACACAACTCACTCCAGGTACCAGTCACACTCACCAGGCACACAACTCACCAGGTACCAGTCACACAACTCACCAGGTACCAGTCACACAACTCACCAGGTACCAGTCACACAACTCACCAGGTACCAGTCACACAACTCACCAGGTACCAGAGACCAGTTACACAACTCACCAGGAACAGGGTACCAGTCACACAACACCAGGAACCAGTTACACAACTCACCAGGTACCAGTCACACAACTCACCAGGTACCAGTCACACACTCACCAACCAGTCACCTCACCACCAGGAACCAGGTACCAGTCACACAAGTCACCACCAGGTACCAGTCACACAACTCACCAGGAACCAGTCACACAACTCACCAGTACCACACAACTCACCAGGAACCAGTCACACAAACCATCCAGTCACCAGTACCAGTCACACAACTCACCACCAGTCACACAACTCACCACCAGTCACACAACTCACCAGGTACCAGTCACACAGTCACCACACAACTCACCAGGAACCAGTCACACAACTCACCAGGGTACCAGTCACACAACTCACCAGTTACCTGTCAGTCACACACTCACCAGTACCAGTCACACAACTCACCAGGTACCAGTCACACCAACTCACTCACCAGGTACCAGTCAACTCACAACAGTCACTCACCAGGAACCAGTCACACAGTACCAGTCACACAACTCAACTCACCAGATACCAGTCACACACAACTCGCAACCAGAAGTTGTAGCAGGCTGTGGTGGCTGCAGGGAAGTCGTAAGCCTGGAAGCCACTGGTACAGGACTCCACAGCCAGGCACAGTCGACTCAGGATCCACTTGTCCATCTCCCTCTCCTTGCCACACAGCTACAGGAAACAGGGAAATATCATTACATAGCTGCAATTACAATCAAGGAATCAATCAATACAGGTGAGATGGACTACTGATTAGTGCAACAACCATTTAGAATATTCTGCTGTATGTAAGATTTAGCAAAGGTATTTGTGCATAATCAAGCTGAGTGAGTGAGTGAGTTTGGCTAAGCATCAATTTTTCATTTTATTTTGCACCAAGAGCATGGACAGTACGCTGACAAAGAAACTCATAAAGTATAGGTTCCAAATCCATGATGGAGGATTCTGGCATGTGTGAAGGGTGCAACTATACACAACAACCTTCAACACATTAGACATCCTGTGCCCTCCCCATAGCTGAAGGCCTGGTTACCTGATGCTGTGGTGTGGGCTTAAAGTCGACTCCCAACCCATTCAGGGCAAACTTGGTGGCGTTCCAGAGCTTGTTGCAAAAGAACCTGTAGCCCTGGACACGGAGCACGTCCAGATTAATGTCACGACCTGCAACCAATCACAACACATTATACATAGCTGACATTCACCAATTTCACTAAAATCAGAAGAAACTGTAGCCGATCAAAACACATTGTACATAGTTAGCATTTCCCAATTTCATTTAAATCAGATAACTTTGAATGAAGATCTTCAATCTTAGTAAAAATAACCCAAGAAGAATAAAACACACCCTTGATAGTACACCCTTTTGGGGGCTCAGGGTATAGTAAGGTGTGAGAGTGGGAATTGGGTTTAGTGCCAGTCTGAACAGTAGTTCAGTTATAGCAAGGGGTAGCAGCATAGTATGTGAGGAAAGACAAGAGAAATGCAGATCCCAGATGTCAACCACTTTTGTTAAACCTATATGCTAAGGTACACTGCTGATCAACCTAGTAGGATCTGAAATCACCATCACAGATTTATGGCGAGCCAAGGGGCGTAAATCTTCTCAGCAAGCATTAAAGGCGACTGGGTCCTTGACCAGGGCTACGATTGAAGGCGACTGGGTCCTTGACTTCCCCCCACGACATGCATATAAATGTTCAGTACACATAAATAACATTGTTGAGCAGCTTGCTGAGACAAATGGAAAGCTCGGATAAATACTTGTGAAGTTTCTTTTCTCAAACACGATTTGACACATGAGGAAACCCACAAAACACAGTAATGGTTCTGTGATGAAAACTGGCCCTAAACCTGGAGTGAGTGAGTACTGTTCCTATTTTATCCAGTCGGACCTGACATTTGTATCACATGGTCGCTCATATTCCAGCAAATACAAACACATGATTGGAAATAGTGGGACACCAAAACATGGCTTCCTTCATTCTCAGTACACCTCCACTTGCTATGTGGGGAATCGAACCTGAGCCCTGCTTGACTTCCCCCTCAGATGCATTAAATGTTCAGTACAATATAACATTGTTGAACAGCTTGCTGAGAGACAAAAGCTCAAGTGACCCATTTCTCAGATGTTTACCACTTGTGTGAAACCCACCAACACAGTAATGGTACTGTATTGAAAACTTGCCCCTAATCTTGACTTGGTGGTTGGAAAATTCAATGATCAAAGACAACAGATGAACACTGTTGAGTATGCAAACCTAGAAACATACTCAGGGAAGTTCAGGGATTCAAACTCATGATCATGGGTTTCTTCATGCCCAATTGATGCAGCCATAAGATGACTGGGCTAGTCGTGCACCATCATCAACTGAAAGCTCACCTTGAGATGTGTAGGCAATGAGGGCAAACCGTAAAGCGTCTGTGCCACACTCAGGGATACCATCTGGGTAGTCAGCTTTCTGTAAAACACACATTTAGTCCACATTATCACTTTCTTTCAAGAGCTTCAAACTTTTGGCAGGACACCATGTATTCTTAACAAAAGCCTGAGGGTCCAAGTACAAACTGTCATTATTCTTTGTCCGAGATACAACAGAGTGGATGGCAGCATTTCATCTTTTAATAAAGGGTTGGTATATCCTTGTTGTTTAATGCTGAAACCATCAATTTTCTAGCTACATTGAACTTGCCTGTAAATAACAAATCAGTTTACCATAAATACCAGTGATTGATAGTATGAGCACAATGAAATCCAGATACAATGACATACATCAGCATGACTACCAATACATCTAGTTGCCTTGTACAACAAGCACAGGTTGCTTTGGACCTATTGCAACCAGGTCTAAACTCTATGTACTTGTCTTCTATGCTAACATAGTCTCAAAATCAAATTTAAAATGCAGGGTGAGAATCTATTAATCACTTGAACAGCTTCCCGGTGTAAAACCTACCTGTCCTACTATGGCCTTCTTGATCTCTTTTTCATCCAAATTTCCATCCTGAAGACGCTCATTAAGACCCTGAAGATATATATATATATACTGTAAATCATGAAATTAATGCGAGCATTTTATTAATGCGAGAAATGCGTCTGTACTTCTTCGCATTATCTGTACTCTTCTCGCATTATTATAATGACACATTGACACTACACATTACACCAATACAGATTGATTGATTGATTGATTGTTGTACCTGGGTAGATGACTTGTGTCTTTCGAGGCGGATTAGATTTATAAATGTTGTCATAAGACAAGTAGTAGCAAGCAATCACGTGATCAAACATGGCAGCGTAATCAAAACATTGTCAGCTCATTTCCATTCATTGCTTAACAAGCTCAATTCAGGTTATTTGGTAAATAACAAGTGTGAAAAGAAAAGGAACAACACCAAAGATTCAGGGTGTCACATTTTATCATCAACACAGATTCCTTAGCTCGCATTAATTTCGTGACGCATTTTAGACTAGACACTTCGCACTCGCATTAAATTTGTGACGCATTAATTTCATGATTTACAGTATGCATTCATTTTATAAATTTGTACATTGTTTCAGTCCACATTCCATCTCCATGACAACAGCCTGTAAACAATAGTACAGACAACACATACTAGTGATTGATACTATGAGTGACAAAGTGAGGTTGGTTTAACACTGCTTTGACCAATATTCCAGTTACATCACCTCATGTCAGCATAAAGTAGGGGAACGCCAAAAGTGACAACAGTTTCTGCCACTGCATATTCAAAAGTAACAATACTTTCAGCCACTGCATATTCACATTGTTTATTGTCAATTTTCTTTCGGCACTGAATATTCTTTTTCCTGGGTCCAGTCTTCCGAGTATATTTCAACCAGTGAGTCGACCTGAGTGTCGTATCCCCTGCGCTCACAACATCAATGTCAAATACTTGGTTTATCTTGATGTATGTGGGGCAGAGGGGTATTCTAGTGGTTAAAGCGTTCGTTTGTCACGACAACGACCCGGGTTCCATTCCCCACATGGGTACAATGTGTGAAGCCCATTTCTGGTGTCCCCGCCGTGATATTGCTGGAATATTGCTAAAAGCGGCGTAAAACCATACTCACTCACTATACTACTTCCTGGATTCTGTGTAGGTTTGGCTAACTGAGGATAGTGTACAGGCCCAGCACTCACCTCCAGGCTGATTCCTCGGATCACATCGATGGGGTCAACAACATTGCCCAGAGATTTGCTCATCTTCCTGCCGTGGGCATCCCTCACCATTGCATGCAGGTAAACCTACAATAGCATGAACAGACATGAACCATGGATACATAGTCAGATTGTTCACATACTTATTCACACACCTGTGAAGAACCTGTGAAGGGGCGGGTTAGAAATGGTCTTCAGTAACCAATGCTTGTCTTAAAAGGCGACTAACGGGATCGAGTGGTCAGGCTGGCTGACTTGGTTGACACACGTCATTGTATCCCAGTTGTGTAGATCAATGCTCCTGCTGTTGATCACTGGATTGTATGGTCCAGACTCCATTATTTTCAGACCACCACCATATTGCTGGAATATTGCTATATACTGGATTCCCTGAGCTGATAACCTCTGTGAAGTGTATAGCTGTGTGTTGTTTTTGTCGTTGTAGTTTACCCATACTCAGCAATATTCCAGCTATATGGTGGTGGTCTGAAAATTATCGAATCAGGGCCAAACAATCCAGTGATCAACATCATGAGCATCAATTGGGATATGATGATATGTGTCAACTAAGTCAGCGAGCCTCTTATGACAAACAAGAGCTGCTGAAGACCAGTTCTAACCCAGATCTTCACAGGTCATTCAAAACAGTATTGCACTAAATGACATATGGCTTGACCCACAAACAGATCGTTTTACTCACCTCCTTAAAAGGCAGTTTCCCCATGAGGGTCTGGCCAAACATCACCATCCTCGCCACCCAGAAGAACAAAATGTCGTGTCCAGTCTCCAGGAGCGTGCCAGGATAGAGAGCATCAAGGTCAACAGTCTGCAACACAAGAACATCCATGATACACAGACAATCCAGAAAGCCAGTTGGACAAGGAGCTTTCAGACAGTCCTCATTCTGCAAATGCACATGAAGACAGTAGAAGACAGGCTGGCAGGAATATAACAACCGTAATTCACTAAGAACAGATGCTGGTTGGCTAGGTCATAGCTTAGAGCATGTCAGTGCGATATAGAGTTCAGCTATATAAGTGAGTGAGTGAGTTTAGCCTTACGACGCTTTTAGCAATGTTCCAGCAATGTCACGCCGGGGAACACCAGAAATGAGCTTCACACATTGCACCCATGTGGGGAATCAAACCCGGGTCTTCGGGGTGACGAGCCAACGCTTTAACAACCAGGCTACCCCACCGCCGCTATATAAGTGGCCTTATTGTTATTATACTGCTAACTGATTGTTCTCCAATTCATTGACTTACAGTATTCCCAGAAATTATTGAGAAAATCTTTGTTTCCTAATACTGATAATAGAATTTTAACATAGGTGTTACATTTGTAGTAAGGTACTCAATATGGGAGACAACTCTTGTAGGCTTAAGAATGAACCTTACTACATCAAGAGTTATCTCCCCTGGTGTAGCAGACGGCTTCCTTTGTTGACATTGCAGATTTGACAGCAGAAGAAGAAAGTTTGGTTTTAAGATAAACTGGTTCTAGATGCTTCACTTTGTAATGTGGGGTGTAACTAATGCAAAAGAGTTAACTGGTAGACAGAAACATTCCTCTGTCTACAGTATACAGAACTTTGAAGAATATTTAGTCAGGAGTTGGGATTGAGCACAAGACTGGGGTGGAAGACAATGTAAGAGAATCATATCTCAACATATCCATTTAATTAAAATTTCTACAGTTTATATACTTGTATTAGATATTTGCCGAAATAATGTTCTCAATAATTTCCGGGAATACTATACATAGCCTATTGTTAGACAACTATATTACAACCAACCTGGTCAGGCCAGCCAAATATGGAGAATGGGAAGAGGGCTGATGAGAACCAAGTGTCCAGCACATCCTCATCTGAAATACAACAGTGGTCATTTCTATAGTCACAGTACCTCACAGCAGCCTGAGAACAACAGTCAGACCAGGCACATCAGTGGCCGAAGCTACAACCTTTAAGATCCCAGCTAGCAAGGTCTGAAAGGTCTGAACTGGATCTGCTCCCAATATCTTGTTTAATAGCAGGATCAAGAAGATGTGTGGGCTGAGAAGTTCAAACCTTGTTTCAAGGAGAAACTTGTGAGCTGTGGGATCTGCTCTGACATACAGTATCATACTGTTTACTAGCAGGATCAAGAAGATGTGTACAGCTGAGAAGTTACAGCTGGTTTACCAACCATTGCTTTACAGCTGGGAGATTACATTTTTCAACAAACTACATACGCTGAACTTCTTTGCTGCAAAGCCTGTCGACAGCTTCCTACATACTCTGAACAACAAGCTACATACAGCTGAACCCACACACCCAGTAGTCCCCATCACTGTCCTTTAGTTAAAACACACATACAGCTGAACAACAAACTACATACAGCTGAACAACAAACTACATACAGCTGAACAACAAACTACATACAGCTGAACAACAAACTACATACAGCTGAACAACAAACTACATACAGCTGAACAACAAACTACACACAGCTGAACAACAAACTACACAAACTACATACAGCTGAACAACAGCTGAACAACACAGCTACATACAGCTGAACAACACTACACAGCTGAACAAAAACTACATACAGCTGAACACAAACTACATACAGCTGAACAATACATACATGAACAACAAGATACATACAGCTGAACAACAAACTCTGAACAACAAGCTACATACAAGGAACAAACTAAGATAGTGCTGGCACTCTGAAGTGGAGTTACATACATACATATACAACTACATAGCTGTTGGCACATACAGCTGAAGGAGCCTATACATACAGACTAGTGCTGAACAACAAACACATACAGCTGACAAGCTACATATACAAGAAAGCTGTTGGCACTCTGGAAGGAGCCTATATAAGACAGCTGTTGGCACTCTACAAGGATCCTACATACAGCTAAGATAGTGTTGGCACTCTGAAGGAGCCTATATAAGATAGAGTTGACAGCTGAACAACAAACTCTGAAGGAGCCTATATAAGACAGAGTTGGCAATCCTCTGAAGGATCCTATATAAGATAGTGTTGGCACTCTGAAGGATCCTATATAAGATAGTGTTGGCACTCTGAAGGAGCCTATATAAGATAGAGTTGGCAGTGCTCTGAAGGAGCCTATATAAGATAGTGTTGGCACTCTGAAGGAGCCTATATAAGACAGTGTTGGCACTCTAAAGGAGCCTATATAAGACAGTGTTGGCACTCTGAAGGAGCCTATATAAGATAGTGTTGGCACTCTGAAGGAGCCTATATAAGATAGTGTTGGCACTCTAAAGGAGCCTATATAAGATAGTGTTGGCACTCTAAAGGAGCCTATATAAGACAGTGTTGGCAATCTGAAGGAGCCTATATAAGATAGTGTTGGCACTCTAAAGGAGCCTATATAAGACAGTGTTGGCACTCTAAAGGAGCCTATATAAGACAGTGTTGGCACTCTAAAGGAGCCTATATAAGACAGTGTTGGCACTCTAAAGGAGCCTATATAAGATAGTGTTGGCACTCTGAAGGATCCTATAAAAGATACAGTATATTAAACCTGGTCAAGTGTCTCACAAGTTATGCCATTAGACACGGAGGTACTAACATGCCAGAAAATGAGAAAACTGGTGACCTACCTGTCCTGGCTTGACACTGGGGTCATCAACAGTGACGAAGTAGGCGGGGATCCGATGACCCCACCACAGCTGCCGTGATATACACCAGTCCCTGCACACAGACATCCGCACATCAACATCATCAGACATATAACATCTGCTTCTAGGTCTTACCTAGTCCAGCATTACCTGATAATCAGCTTTTGGAAATATGGGAGTTTTAAACATTGGCATTTTTAACATTCAAGTTGTCAATAATAAATTTAATTTTCCTATGAACACAAGTTTTCTAAACTCATTATACATCCCTTTCTTGTTGGTTAAAGACACAATGGGTAATACAGATTCCAGATTCCAGTGTCAAGAAACTAAATATAGGAACTCACTTGACATTCTCCAGCCAGGAATTCCACGTCTTGATATGCATTTCTGGAATAATTTTCAACTCTCCATCCCTCACAGCCTGGACAAAACAAACAAATAATCAAAGACCCTGATATTTTTCATGCTTGTTTACTGGTAGTATAATGAAATCATTGTAGTCTGCTAAATAAACCGTGACCAGCAAACTAGTAGTTGATATCGTGAGCATAGGTCAAAGAGTGAGTGAGTTTGGTTTTACGCCGCTTTAAGAAATATTCCAGCAATGTCATGGCAGGGGACACCAGAAATGGGCTTCACAGTTTGTACCCATGTGGGGAATCGTACCAGGGTCTTCGGCATGACGAGCGAACGCTTTAACCTCTAGGCTACCCCACGTCCCCCTTAGGTCAAAGATGTCAGTGGATGACACACTACTACAGTATCCAAAGGACAACTGGTGTGTGAAAGCATGAGCAGGGTCTAAGGAGTAAACGTAAAATGACATACCACTGCATCCTTAAGACAAACCAGTGGTTGATGGAATGAGCATGGGTCTAAGGTGTATCGGTAAAATGACACACTACCACTGCATCCTTAAGACAAACCAGTGGTTGATGGAATGAGCATGGGTCTAAGGTGTATGGGTAAAATGACACACTACCACTGCATCCTTAAGACAAACCAGTGGTTGATGGAATGAGCATGGGTCTAAGGTGTATGGCATAATGACACACTACCACTGCATTCTTAAGACAAACCAGTGGTTGATGGAATGAGCATGGGTCTAAGGTGTATGGGTAAAATGACATACTACCACTGCATCCTTAAGACAAACCAGTGGTTGATGGAATGAGCATGGGTCTAAGGTGTAAAGGTAAAATGACACACTACCACTGCATCCTTAAGACAAACCAGTGGTTGATGGAATGAGCATGGGTCTAAGGTGTAAAGGTAAAATGACACACTACCACTGCATCCTTAAGACACACCAGTGGTTGATGGAATAAGCATGGGTCTAAGGTGTATGGGTAAAATGACACACTACCACTGCATCCTTAAGACAAACCAGTGGTCAACAGCACGAGCATCAACCCACTCTCTCAGGTTACAATAACACTGAACCACTGTATCCACCAGACACTCAATACCTGGCTCCTCCAACAAACGTGTGTATTTAGGTTCCATTGTGGCCATGAATCCTGCAGGGCCCTGGTGACTAAAACTGACCTTGACTGCCGCGGCATTCATGTCCTTCACGTCAATGTACCACTGTGGCTTCAGTAGGGGCTCAATCACATCCTTGGATCGACTGAAACAATGAGGGGGAATCTACATGACTGACTGAATAGCAGACTATATCTGCTAGCCAAAGAACACAAATCCACCCTCAATAGTACACCATGGTTGGTGCAGTTGTCATGGTGTTTAGAGATAATTGTGCAGCTTAATTTTGGGCATTTATAACTCACTTTTCAGTGGTACAGATATGTCAAGCCTTGAAGCCGACTGCCAGATAGGACTACTACAGAGATGTCTCCAGATCTCCAGACAGGGGAGTATCGTATTGGGAGTAGAGATGAGACTTCAATGACACTGCTGTTAGAGGAAACATTACCCACCTGCATGTGGGGACCACCATTGGGTTGTCCTTGGTGTCCCTGTACCAGCCCTTGTCTTTGAGGGCCTGGAGAACAGCTTTCCTTGCGTCAAACCTTTTCATACCCTGAAATTAGGTAATACACCCTGCTACAAGCATTGCATTCCAGTCAAATAGGAAAGATTCATTTTAAGCAAGGTTATACCATGGTTGTTTCTGTTTACATCTGGGAGCTATTTAGAAGTTTAAACTATGTGACCTTGTCAAGCACACTGGGAAAGACTGCTATTTTCTTCAAAAGTGGTAGTTTATCTCTGTTCTTATTTTTGAAGTTCAGAGGTATTTGAACATGGCATTCAATGCAATAATCTATACTGAAACATTAAGGCACCATTCTCTATATTGGTGCTTTTGAACACCAAACACTAGTCATGTCCACAAAGCTATGAGTGAATGAGTTTAGTTTTATGCCGCACTCAGCAATATTCCAGCTATATGGCAGCAGTCTGTAAATAAGCCCTGGACCAGACAATCCAGAGATCAACAGCATGAACATTGATCTACACAAATGGGATACGATGACATGTGTCAACCCAGTCAGCGAGCCTGACCACCTGATCCTGTTAGTCGTCTCTTACGACAAGCATGGGTAACTGAAGATCAATTCTAACCCAGACCTTCACGGGTTACAAAGCCATGAGATGACATGATATAAACATAATAAAGAGCATTAAGTGCTACTTAAATGTGGTATCCATGGCATCATAAGTGCCACTTAAATTATCCTATCTTCTATTAAAGCAATAAGTGTTGCTTTAAGTAATCCATCTTCTCTCAGAGCATTAAGTGCTGCTTTAAGGTATCCTGTCTTCTATTATAGCATTAAAGGTCACATGCAACGTAAAACACAACTTTGCAGATTCTGATACCTTTCGGTATGGACTTACTGAAACAAAGCGTCAAAATGCAAATTCAACTTATAAAGTTGAAAAATAACGCGATGAAAAAACGCGAAATCGAGAGTTCAAACGTTTCAATAATTTTCCCCAGACTTTTCTGGGGAATACGGGTTTCAACAGCTGGGCTGAAGCTCATAGCACGCGCGCGCAGTGAAATAGGTTCGTGCAACTTGGAAGCGGGCTTTCTGGTGAATACTCTTGGTGAAGGCTTATAATTTGGTGTCAGCTATTTTCCTAATGTTTTGTTGATATCTCACAGGTGCGAGCTTTTATATGTTATGACAGTAAATAAACTGTTTATATAATTTCATTTGTCTATTTCACCACATGTTCTTTCTTACCGAGTCACTTTCTCAGTTCGATACTAAAAGCAATGTCATTATTTAGCGTTGACACAATTTCTAACTGTGATATAGATATGTCGCTGTCACAGACAAAACTCAATGTCTTGTTTTATTGACACCTGTGTGTCTGCCTGCCTGTCTGCTAATGACAATATTCAATACACAACTGCGATCACTGACCACATGAAATTTGAACTTAACACCAATCAGGCTATACACCATAAACAAATCGCATTGATTTATGGCCCCTGTTCGGTCTCTGTCACATTATGTAATTACACAGACAGGCAGGTGTGATACTTGAACACATGACATGTTATGATGTCTGTTGATTGCAAAATGTTATACACAAAATGAGCATGTATTTACAAAACCCAACATCTCTATATATACACACACAATGAGCCGCGGAAGGCGGCATCTGCTAATGAACCAGGACGTTACACTTGAGTGCACACCCACCCGCTCTGACTGGGTTTCGTATCCCGGCTGCTTCGTTTCGAGGGAGGTTAAACCCAAGTACAAAAATATTGCACTTTTGATTTTGCGATTATACGCTTATAATTTTGTTTATTTGTTTTTTCATAATCAGCAATGCATATTATATGTCATGAAGAAGTTATAATTGTGTTTTAATTATGTTTGATTTTTTGGTTGCATGTGACCTTTAAGCATTGCTTTAGGTGATCTGGTCTTCCATTAAAGCAAAAGTCTAGCTTTAAGTGATCTGTCTTCCCTCAGAATATTTACTGCTGCTTTAGTAGAAGGTATTAAGGGTTGTTTCAAGTGATCCCCTCTTCCATTATAGCTTTAAGTGTTGCTTGAAGTGATCCCGTCTTTTATTATAGAATTAAGTGTTGCTTTAAGTGATCCTCTCATTAAATTAGCATTTAGTGTTGGTTTATCCTGTCTTCTACTAGAGCATTAAGTGGTGTTATAAGTGAGACCACACTTACAGTGAACTGTCCACAGTCACCAGTTATATTGCCCTTCTCATCGATGATGTTCAGCTGCTCCAGTTTGTGACGCACTCCAACTTCGTAGTCATTGTGATCATGGGCAGGTGTGATCTTCACAGCACCTGTCAACGGAGGATGTGGTTTGGCAAGTCGAGAAACACTATTATTTTGCAATTCCTATACTACTGAAGACAACAGGACCTTTGCCATTCACTCCTCGACCACCCCTTCATCACATCATAGGTCTGTTCCATAATGATTTATAATGATTATGAATATGTTTCTCCTTGACTGTAATCGGAAGACAAGCCACTAAAAATGGCTGTACAGTCAGTAGAGCTGGCTGTTGATATTGATCGTACAGGCTGGTAATTGTCAACTAAATATCAAACGAACATCAATAAATATCACAGAAGTAACTTTGAGTAGAACTGCAAAACAATGTCCAAAAGGAATTTACATATAAGTCACTGGTGACACATATACCATGTTTATACATGGATTACAGACAAAAATATATTTCTCAATGTATTTTAATAGTAATTCATGCATATTTTGTGTGTAAATTATAATTTTATTTCATCACAATCATTTATGCGATGATATCATCAATGACTCAATTTTTATGTCAATAATTGTTAATAATTCTTTCCATTGCATCCTCGATAATCTCCAGGGTACATGTTATGATAAATCACCACTAGTATCCTGGATGCATCTATGGCCCGATAATTTTATTACCTCCCTTTACTGGCTCTGCATTCTCACAGTAGCCAATCAGCTAAGCCGCCGTTACAACCAATCTTGCCAGTGTCAACAAAGATAGCGAAAAGAGACTTACCTGTTCCGAACTCTCGGTCTACAAAGTCGTCACATACGATGGGTAGGCGCCGGTCTGAGAATGGGTGAATGACACTCTTCCCATGTAGATGTTTGTAGCGGGGATCATCAGGGTGAACGGCGACAGCGGTGTCGCCCAGCATCGTCTCAATACGGGTGGTCGCAACCACAATCTCCTCATCTGAACAAATGCTTTCCATGTAGACATGGTTTGTGTAATATTTCAGAGAAAAGAAGGTGGGTTGACACTGTGCAAAATAGTTTCCAAATTTTGGTAGCCAGTCGGGCTAGCTATGCCTGAGAGTTACTAGTCCACAAAATAATTCACTAACCCGAAATCTGAATGTAGACAAAGGTTTCATTAAGCTGCTAATATGATGAACATTTTCGTCAGGCCATAATCTTGCATGATTTTTAAGTGTATTATAACTGTACAAGTGAGGCAGAGTGATATATTTACAAAATGTCCCCATGAAAATTGTCGGGCAAGTGACTGTGGAGATTTACTGGCCCGACTGGATTTTTACTAGCCACAGGCTAGCGGGCCCGTGGCTATTTAACACACTGGTTGAGATTGACACTGCTTTTAACAAGGATCCATCATGACAACAGGAGACACCTGTACCAACTTGGGACTCAAACCAGGGCTTCGATGTGACAAGCCAAACATTAACAACTAGTCTACCCCACCATGCATGTTTTGGAACCAAGAAAACCAATCTGCTTCAGTACACTCAAAACAGGCTTATAGATGACGAAACAAAATGGAATCAATTATCTTAAACTCAGGATGCAACTAAAAGTTGACATGCAAATGTAAAAAATAAGTTAAAACTATGTGTATCTTAGCAGAGGACACCAGAAATGGGCATCGTACACATGTGGGGAATTAAACCCGTATCTTTGGCGTGATGAGCAAATGCTTTAACCACTGGGCTACCCCACTGCCTCATTAGATATGTGAACACAGTACCTGATCCCTCGACCTTGTAAGCAAAAGAGACGAGGACACCAAACTCTACTTTATCCTTGTAGCCTGGTACAGCCAGCATGGTGCGTCCCGGGATCTCCTTCTTGTCTACCTGGGGTGCAACATGAACCGTCACATATAGAAAACAGGCATCATGAATGGTACACACACCCTGATATTGGCAGTAGTGGTGCATTGATGGATCCCAAATATTTAACATATATCGAGTTATTGTACATGAGGCAAACTCATTCTTTGTGACTGGCGATGTCAATTGGTGTCCGATAGCAACACATATAGTTTGACAGTAAACTGAAATAGCTGTTCCAAGAATGACTTTGGTACATAAGCTTTAATCATATCCAAATTCTTTGTTTGTACTATTCATTGTGTGCAAATATAAACTTGAGCGCGCCATGCTGATTCCAGCCAGCTGACAGAGCAAAAGAACAATAAGTCTCCACCATCTGAGAGCTAGAAGTAAACCTGAGCAGGAACAACTCAAATTTTCCAATCAGTTTGTCATAACAGTTAAATTTACATACAAACACGCTCATACTTAAACAAAACTAAACCTAGTAAACTGAAACTTAGATATCTGACTATTAACTTACAGGAAATAGACTCTCTTCATCTAACGTCATTCAGTACTTCAAATGAATGTATTTTAATATAAGCTATCCTAAAAACATTATTTAGTTCTCATAATACAAACATTTTCATCCAGTCTGCCAAATGATATGACTATCATAATAACTATTGCTCAGTTGGTGTATTGTCTCAGCCCTCATTTTAAACCCATTAGCAAACAATACAACTTAAGAACATATTCTAATCACCTGCAGACAAATGACACTTACTTCAATATCTGAGATGGCCGAGTTGAGTGTACAAGACCAGTTGACAAGTCGAACACTGCGGTAGATGAGTTTCTTGTCATGTAGACGAACGAAGGCCTCTTGAACAGCTCTGTACAGTCTCTACAACACATTAACAGCAGTTAGCATACAATGTGAATCAATACAGTTGAATGCACAAATAGAACTAAACATGCTGAATACAAACATTATCATGATCAAATGATGCTTGATAAAAATATGCATAAACGTCATCCTATGATGGCAACCATGATAATATGTTGTGGCTATCAAGTACAGTACAAGTTAGCTAATTGTATAAAAATTATATCAGGCAGCATATCTGCACCAAATTGGAGATACAAGATGGAGATTTCACAGATAACAGAACCGCTAAAGATGAAGAGACTTCAACACATCTTTTTACATTATTAGGGACCGTTCATAATTCATGGGGGGTGATGATGATTTTCATGCAGAAGCATGTACAATGTGAATGACCCCACCCTAAAATTTATGTACAAAGTAAGTAGAAACACCCCCGTGTATCATGTACAAAATCAGTTACCCCCTCCCCTTCCAATAATTTTTAAGCATAATTTTTAAATATTTCTATGTACATAATTGATGACACTCCCCTCCCCAGAACAAAACGGGTGACCCCTCCTTAAAATCATCATCAGCTCCCGTAGCCATAAGTTATGAACAGTCCCTTACACTGAATGCATTGTTAACATCATAATAATGATAAAGTACAGACACAAGAACCTTTACAAACATTACAATTCTGAAACAAATGATTTTGTCCCAGTTTGCCTGCCACTTAGTTTGATTCCAGGTACATCTCTGTATATTCATATTTTTAGACAATGTCACTTCAGGGTTGAATTGGGTGTAACTGACAGCTAAAGAGGCATAGGTTTGTTGTTTCCAATATAGACGAAACCATGTGTGAGGAATGAAATATGGTAAGTGAAAAACTGTACAATATACCTCCTTGTGCTCATGAACTAATGCTTTGACAACCAGGAAAATAGCACTTGGAGCCAGGAAGGATTAAACAAGAAAGAAGAAACTTATTGGTCGGAAACTATATATATCCCACTGGTACAGGTATAAGGACTTACTGGTTCCATGGTGAAACGAGCTCGGTCCCAGTCGTAGGATCCGCCCAGTCTCCTCAACTGGTTGTAGATCTGGTCCCCTTTCCTGGAAACAGTCAAGGAAGTCTTTGAAACCACAGTGCCATTGTACAAAGAAACCTTAGCGCTAAGGTTTTCAAGTTATAGGAGCTACAATCACTTTGGTGCTAAGATTGCTTTGTACAATCACCTTAAGTTTGGCTTTGTACAATCACCTTGGCACTAAGATTGCTTTGTACAATCACCTTGGCACTAAGCTTTGTAAGATTGGTACAATCACAATCACCTTGGCACTAAGATTGCTTTTGTACAATCACCTTGGCACTACAATCACCTTGGCACTAAGATTGCTTTGTACAATCACCTTGGTGCTAAGATTGCTTTGTACAATCACCTTGGCACTGTAGATTGCACTAAGATTGCTTTTGTACAATCACCTTGGTGCTAAGATTGCTTTGTACAATCACCTTGGCACTAAGATTGCTTTGTACAATCACCTTGGCACTAAGATTGCTTTGTACAATCACCTTGGCACTAAGATTGCTTTGTACAATCACCTTGGCACTAAGATTGCTTTGTACAATCACCTTGGCACTAAGATTGCTTTGTACAATCACCTTGGCACTAAGATTGCTTTGTACAATCACCTTGGCACTAAGATTGCTTTGTACAATCACCTTGGCACTAAGATTGCTTTGTACAATCACCTTGGCACTAAGATTGCTTTGTACAATCACCTTGGCACTAAGATTGCTTTGTACAATCACCTTGGCACTAAGATTGCTTTGTACAATCACCTTGGTGCTAAGATTGCTTTGTACAATCACCTTGGCACTAAGATTGCTTTGTACAATCACCTTGGCACTAAGATTGCTTTGTACAATCACCTTGGCACTAAGATTGCTTTGTACAATCACCTTGGCCTTGGCTTTGTACAATCACCTTGGCACTAAGATTGCTTTGTACAATCACCTTGGCACTAAGATTGCTTTTTGTACAATCACCTTGGCACTAAGATTGCTTTGTACAATCACCTTGGCACTAAGATTGCTTTGTACAATCACCTTGGCACTAAGATTGCTTTGTACAATCACCTTGGCACTAAGATTGCTTTGTACAATCACCTTGGTGCTAAGATTGCTTTGTACAATCACCTTGGGGAACTAAGATTGCTTTGTACAATCACCTTGGCACTAAGATTGCTTTGTACAATTTCAATGTACAATCACCCAGGGCGCTTCTTTGTTATAATCACCTTGGCACTAAGATTGCTTTGTACAATCACCTTGAAAGCTAAGATATCACCTTGGCACTAAGATCACTTTGTACAATCCCTTGGCACTGGAGATCACTTTGTACAATCACCTTGGCACTAAGATTGATTGCTTTGTACAATCATGATGGCACTAAGATCACTTTGTACAATCACCTTGGCAATGATTTTGTACAATCACCTGTGCACCCTGATGACTTTGTACAATCACCTTGCCTCCTGATGATTGTGTGTACAGTGACCCTTGATGATTGTGTACAATCACTGTGGCCCTGATGATTGTGTGTCACTGTGCCTCCTGATGATTCCTTGTCACAATGACCTTGGATGATTTCATGTCACAATCACCCTGCATGATTGTGTGTACAATCACTTGTGCACTCCTGATGACTTTGTACAATCACCTTGTCACTGTGATCACTTTGATGATGATTGTGTGTCACTGTGACTTTGGGAACACCTTGGCACTAAGATTGATGATTGTCATGTCACTGTGCCCCTGATGATTGTGTGTCACTGTGACCCTGATGATTGTGTGTCACTGTGCCTCCTGATGATTCCATGTCACTGTGACTCCCTGATGATTTCATGTCACTGTGCCCCCTGATGATTTGTGTGTCACTGTGACCCCTGATGATTTCATGTCACTGTGACCCCTGATGATTGTGTGTCACTATGCGCCCTGATGACTCCATACCCTGATGATTGCATGTAACTGTTTTACTGAACAGTGACAAATGTGTCATTCTACCAGGATACTTGTGTCATTCTATTTTCAGATGACCCTATGTCCAGGTGTCTTGACGTCAATCTGGATGTCAACTACTCCTTCAGTCACAGATTTATCTGATCCATATTTTACAGATTATAACTTCAAAATTCCTGGCAACTTACTCATTTTTCCACTTCCATACTTCATCAACAAAGTTTTCCCTGCCCAGATCGTGCCGTGTCAGTTGTCTCTCTCTCATCAGCTTCTTCTCAACAACCACCTGTGTGGCAATACCAGCATGGTCGCACCCAGGGTTCCACAGACACATCTTACCATTCATCCGATGCCTGTAACCAAATACAACACACTTACTTCTTGAAGACAAAGAATATATTTTAGATCAAACAGATATTGTTTTCTGATATTTGGAATTTTTGCAAATATGTTTTCTTCAGTTTGGAGGTATCGTAACATTTTGTGTACATATCAGCTCCTCAGTAAATGTGAACCACAACAAAAACTTTTCTTAAGCTTGGAAGCCAGAAGAACAAACACACCATCTTGTGAGGCAGTCCTCCACGGCATTCGTGAGAGCATGTCCAAGATGGAGTTTCCCTGTTACATTGGGAGGCGGGATGACAATGATAAACTTGTCTTCATATGGAGTTGTACTGATGTCTCGACCCTGTAACAAGAACAATGATATGACAATAATCAAGAAAAGAGACTGGTGGTTTGTTATAAAGGATGTGGGGTAGCCTAGTGGTTAAAGCGTTCATTCGTCACGCCGAAGAACCGGGTTCGATTCCCCACATGGGTACAATGTGTGAAGCCCATTTCTGGTGTCCCCACCGTGATATTTGCTGGAATATTGCTAAAAGCAGCGCAAAACTAAACTCACTCACTCACAAAGGATGTTATGGTTGGTAAGATTAAAAGCGTAATAATATATGATAGTAAAAAGAAAGGGTGGGTTACAGTGAATAATATTACCCAAATATAAAGAGACTAAAGGAGTATGAAAATTTGTCATCATTTGAATATTTCAAATAACAGTAACTTTACAAATCTGAACATATCTTTGGACAGGCCAATTATCAGCGACCAGGAGGAATAAATTGGGTAGAGAGGAGGTGGGTCATGGGAAAAACATTTTTTTTGACGAAAAGGAGAGGGACAGTAAAACAAGGCCCACTCCCAATGGTGGGTTACCTATAGCAATATGGGTGAAGATCCATTGGGATGGCCATATGAGGCAACTAACAGGCACGGTTGTCAGGCTCACTGACTTGGTTGACACATGTCATCATATCCCAATTGCATTGATCGATGCTCAGGCCTTTAAAAAAAAATGGTTGTGGTTCCGATTACCCAATCAACCCTTGAATTCTGGTGCCGCCCTATGTTTTTAAAGTGGTATGAATAAAATTAGCTTTCAAATACCATTGTTTTTTCCCGGCACTGACAGACATCAGTCATTCTGATAGAGAAAGTCAACATGATGGCTGCAAGCTTGCAATTACAGTGGAAAACTGACTTTGTGTGCTGGCGATTAGGTACCTGACTCTGAGGGTGTGGGTTCGAATCCCGGATGGGACTCAACCCAAAAAGTACTAGAATCTGTACTTTACTAAGAAAGTGTAATCCCAAGTATAACATATGTTACAATTACACATTGATAAATGTGTTATTAGTTCGTACTTTACATTTCAAAATAAATGTGAAAAAAAATCCTACCTACCTACCTACCCTAAATTTTAAAGAGGTGTAATCAGAACCACAACATTTTTTTTATTTGGCCTCATGATGTTAATCAGTGGATTGACTGGTAAAGACTTGATTATTTCCAGACCGCCACCACATAGCTGGAATATTGCTGAGTGTGGCGTTAAACAAAGAAAAACAACCAATCTTCAATACACCAACTTACCCCATACTCTGGTTTGAAGAACCCGCTCTGTTGCCACCAGTCATACCAAGCTGCTTCTACATACTCCGGGCTGTAGGAATCTGGCATGGGACATTTCGTGTCTGAAAAGAAACAGGTCATGTTAGTCAGCATTGAAATCATGCAACCTACTGCTCCAGTACTGCTGGTTAACAGTGCCTCATCATCAACATCTGTCTATGACAATCTGTTTACATCATGATCAGTAACAGAAAGTACAAAATAAGAATGATTTGTTTCTTTGGTCTGTAAATAATCGACTCTGGACCAGACTATCCAGTGATCAACTGCATGAGCATCGATCTACACAATTGGGAGGGATATGATGTCATGTGTCAACTAGGTCAGCAAGCATGACCACCCGATGCCGATTCTTATGGGTTACAGGGTGGTGGGGTAGCTTGACTTGGAAATGCAAGAATTTCTTTTCAAGCCATGGCTTCTCAAAAGAAAGCATCAGTTGTAAATGTCTCCTTAACAAGCATCAACCAACACGAGGGCCCTGTGTACCAGAAATCTAGATAATGAAAGCCTTGTATTTCAATGTGATGACCCAATGCTTGAACCATGACACTACCTCACTTCCCTTTAGTTGTAAGACCCTATATAATGTTATCTCCTTTAGATGTGATCCTTTGTATAACAATGCCCAATTCTACCATGACTATGTGAAATACTCGAATTTGATTGGACAATCAATAAAATTAGACACAATCAATTTGGAATGAAAATGGGTCTGATTTCATGACCACTTCACTGTGCATGTATACAACACTGCCGTACTACTTTAGCTTGGCCACCAACATGGCTAATATCAACACAACAGACATGGTGGAAATGCTAATAAAACATTTACTAACATAATGAAGTCTGGCCAAGACGATCGGGTGATTGATATGAGTAACGATCAAAATATGATGACAAGCTATAAGCCAGCCTACAGAGCCTGTTCACTCAATCAATTAAGACTTCCTACATGCATGTTTCGCAGGGCTTCTACCCTAAGCTGGAATCTCCACTGAGGGCTCATGAAGATTATCATCAACAAGTCCATTAAGAAGATGGTCAACAAATATGGCCATCCTTCAGGCTACTACTGGCAAACAAGGATAAGTTGACCACCGACCCGACAACTGACCTGTACTAGCATGTATGAGTGCTGCCCACTTGCGCTTGCCATTGTGAGCGAAGGGGCCCCAGGTTGTCCGCGATCAAGTGTAGTGTGACTTGCTACACCGATATGAGAGTCTTATGAGAAAGGCGTGTGCAGCTACGCGTTGAATCAATTTCATCGTCATGCAATACACATGCACTAGCCTACATCTGCTCTACCTTTCACAAACCAAATGGGTTTGCCCATTGCTGTGCACCACCTACTTCTCATAAACGCGTTCTCTGCACCGGTCCAACTTATCCTTGTTTGCCAGTACTATGGCTACTGAATCTGGCCTGCTGCTACTGGGGCTACTGAAATGCCCAGCCACTGCTGTGGCTACTGTATCTTCTATCGCCATATTCTATAGCCATGGACGCTGACATCCTGATCATCACAAACCTTTCTTGCTTCCTTTTTCTGTTTTGATATCATAAGTGATGACTGATCTCTCCTTCTTTTTCTTATCTTTCTTCTAAAACAAAAAGATAAGACAATCAAAAATTGATGTAACTGCTTAGGGTGGGTGCATGTTAAAGTAAAGCCGATGTTTTAATTACTGGTATTTCTATTCTTGTATTCGTGGCCTTAGGGATTACATAGTGTGTTGGTTTGGTGCTTGAAAACAAAATTTGCCAGGCCCATTCAATTCTAGACTTTTAAACAAATAATTAGGGTTGTTGGTAGCTGGATTAGAAAAAGAAGAATTTTGTTCTGTTAGTAAAAGATGAAAATTAGATTCTCATGCTTGTTTTACTAGTGTGATGACAAACTAGTCCATTGCATTATGTTCACTTTTAATTTTTTAAGTTCAAAAAAATTGAGATTTGTTTCTCTGTGTTATTTTACACTCTTTAGGGTTTACTTTCTACAAAACAATGTTTCCAAATTTTCACTTTCTCTTAAAGTGAATAAAACTTCATTATAGTTGGCACCATGAAGTTCCTTCCCAGTTGTGGAAGCATGATTAGTTGTAGGAGATTACTGCCGTATGAGTTGTCTCCCTTTGTGACTCTGTCCTATGAAGTCAACATGGCAGTGATGACTTTGCAAAACAGGAAGAACTTGTAGACAATTTTGTGTCTAAAGGATGGTACACAGTGGATATCAAGCATGACTTGAAGGTCAGTATAACAATATTTTCAAGTGTTGACATATCTCTATATATTTTGATTGAAAATACTTTATAAAATGTGATATCAATTAATTCTATCACATGAGACCACTTGCCTCCTTAGCATTATTTTTTGATTTTTAGATGTATATGTCATTTTCTGAGTCATTTAGTAGTAAATTGATTGACATTTTCATAGTATTTGACATGCTATCATATAGATAGAATGTTACATATCTGCTTAAATAAGTGAAAAGCAAGTGTTTGGTCTTTGTGCTTGTATGCAAACATAGGGGCCTTTTGGGGATATTCTTCTTTACTTGTTTTGTATATGATGTGTTCTTAAGGCTATTCTCATGATGTTGTATATCAAGTGTTTTATTAAGTCCACATCTCTGACAATATAGAATGTATTTTAATTATTTAAATCAGGAAACATGGTTTGTATCACCACAATATTGCCATTAAAACATCCCTCCTAAAAGGGCCCCTAATATGTTATGATGCAGTCACAGATGATAATTTCATTACAACAAACAAGAACAATGTTTCCTTTATAGGGTCCTGTGGTGAACCAAATTACAAAATATCTCAATTTTGCAAGATAGTTTATAGTTAAATTCTTACTTAGGTGTTGTATTTGTATCCTTTTAGTGATTACAGTTTATAAAATGCTTATTTTGGGTACAATTATTGTGATTATTTGTTGAAGAATTTATACTATTATTTCCATGTAAGATTTTGACTTGCAATTGATCATAATGTAGTGATTTTACTATAATTGCTTCCACATTTGTCATGAATTCAGCGGTTTTTGAAAAGACGCTTTAGCAAGGTGATTATTTTACAATAACTAATTCATTTGGGTTGATATGACAAAAAATAGATGAATTATATTTATATTTTCAGGTCACCATGACAACAATACCACAGCTAAGCCATTGTCATGGAACAACAAATGAGAAGGACCTTAACTGGAGTTTGTGCATTTTATGTCAAAATGCTACCACTGACAAAATCAAACTCTCTTGTATCACAAACCAAGATTGGAATCATATGACAACTTGTTGAAATCATATACATGAGCTGCATACTTTTTAAAAGATGGACCGCACGCTGATATCTCGCCAGAGACTTGAAGGTTGCACAAAGGAGACACTTGAATTACACAAGGCTGTTTGGCACAGAAGCTGCTATTCTAATGCAACAAATAAAGACCAAATACAACGCGGCCAGGAATAGAAAGCATAAAAACTCCAGGATTTTGAACAAATCGCGATGCAGCAAGAGGGGAAGGAAAAGAAAGGGTTTGAACACCTAAAGTCAGCCTGAATGTTCAGCAATGCCTTTCACAAGATCATCAACATCTCCATTTGACAACAATCTTTGTTTCTTCTGTCAACAGGATGATCAACAGCAGCTTTTTCAAAGTCAGGACAGGAAAAAGCTGGCTCAACCCTCAGAGATGCAATTGAGATTTCAAGAAATCCTTTTCTGAAAACAAGATTAAACTCTACCATTTCTCCAACTGATGCACATGCCATTGATGTCCGATATCACAAGACTTTGTTGGACTCAACCATGTTTTCCATGTCCCACGCCAGGAAACCAGCAAGTAAGCATCCAGTTCAAACTGCATGTATAACTGAATTGATTGATTTTGGTGGACCAGCAAACAGCAAACAAGGCTTTTTATCACTAGAGGAAATTGAGAAAACATATATCGCTATTCTTGAGGGGTTAAAACGCTGGACAAGCATGTGCCTACCTACACAAGGCAGTGGCTCAGGAAGGAAAAGATCCTTTCCGAAGCTTCCCAATGTGAAATCTGTCCTTCAACAAGACCGGGCTGAAACCTGCTGTGCTGTATTCCCCCAAATGCTTGTGAGGAAGAAATGGTCCATAATGCTATTGAGAGAGACAACAGCATGGAAAATATGAAACACATATACCAATCTGCCAAGCTGGTAACACTAAGAGCATTGAGGCCTTTCAGAAAAGAAGATAACAGCAACTTTTCTATGCGCAAGTTATAAAGTACTGTAGATGATGTTCCTTCTGAACTCTACTCTCTCATTCGTTGGATAATGGCTGGAACAAAACTTGAGTTCAGCAGTGAAGAAAAGACTAGTACTGTTGACAGAAGTGTACTTGCTAATCTGCCAAAATATCATGTATGGTGTCAAATCCAGAAGACAGGTAAAATATAAACAGCAAAGAGAGTCTGGAGCATTTAGGATTACGTGGAAAGGAAAATCCTCAGGTGCTTTGGATTAGCCCCTTGCAGTTCACTACAACACCAGAAACAAGATGATCATGGATCTCCTCAGTGCCCACAACTACTGCATTCCTTACAGGCTGCTCTTCTTCTAGAAACTTCACTTGCCAATGCTGTTGTTAAAAATACAAGACACTTCAACGGTTTATACGCTCCACCATTTCTTCGAAAGGTTCATTTGTCTCTTTGCTGTTGACAAATATAGACTTTGCAGAAGACACACCTGATGGGAAGGGAATCCACACATGGAACTGTGACTGCTCGTCTACCAGAAGGTTGATGCCTCAGGAGAACTGATATCCCAACCCCTGGACATACACAGGAAGGCCAAAATCTTACAGTTGCTCCTATCATACAAAGCTGATCCCCTGCAGAAAACCAGACTTGAAAACCACATCTCAGTTATCAACAAATGGGACAAAACTGGACTTCAATAGAGATGGTATTTCTAAAGGCTATTACTTGACACACTTTGGATGGATAGTAGCATCAGTGATGTCCAGAATGAGGGAAGAGAGAGAAGCCAACATGATTCCAGGCTGGCTGCATACAATTCTTTGCTGTCTGAAAGCAAGACAATGACAACAAGTGGAGGGCTTTGCCATTACTCCCTGAAGTCGCATTACCTAATGGTCAACACTACTGGCAGTAATGATACAGGCTCAGAATCTGAAAGAACTGGCAATTGGAAAAGATCACCCAACTGTTATATCATTCGACATGGCTCTATACTTCCAGAAAGTTGTTAAACTTTTGATTCCAGTCCTGACTTGAAAAAGACAGTTTGTGCCCAGGCTTGGTGAGTTGCATGTTGTTATGGCTGCTCTAAGAGCTCTTGGTACATCTATTGAAAATTTTGGAATTGATGATGCCTGGATGGAAGCTGATGTTTTGGTCCAACAACAACAAGACAGATACTAAAATGTATCCACTACAAACGCTGCCTCCCGAAGCTCATCTGTACTCTTACACTGCACTGTATGAGTTATCACTTGAGGAGTTTTTCAGGAATAATCCTGGGCTGCAAGTGGTTTTACTCTGATTTCACCAAGGAAATTGTCAGAGCCTGTAATGTAGTTGACAAAAGTGAAAAGGCAGAATCTGCGTGAAGTGTGCAAATTCTTAAGCTGCTTAGACAAATTGCCATGGATGATCTAATGACCAAATTTCAGTCCTGGGAGCAAGAGATGTGCAAACATGCCATGTTCAAGTCAATGATGAACTACTTACAATCGCGGTTGAAGACATTCTCTTCTTCATAGCTGCATCAAGGAATGCAGATCTTAGGTTGCATCTAGAGGCTTGGTGAAGAACTGAGCAAACTCTCTTTTTGCAATGGATCGGATCAAATACAAAAGACTGTGGCCCAGATAATTTAGCAGATATGTATGCACTGAGGTCAAAGGATCCATACACATGGAATGAGCTGGCTAATGGAAATATATCAGTTTCAAAGAAAGGTATCCCCTTTGTGTTCATTGAGCTGATCATGCATGTGAACAACTGAACAGACTAATGAAGGTACACTCTGGTCTCGCTTGGCATATCACTGGAATGCAAAATGCAAGACAGCAGTTTTTTCTGGCAGCACCTGAGTTGTCACGCTTTTAGCAAAATGAGTTTAAAAGTCAGTTTGATTTTGAAGCAGCTAAAGTCAAGGAGCATCATGACCTTGCACCAGGTGTTATCCAGCGGGACCATATTGCAGTTGACAAAAATCAAGAATGCTATCCTTAGTCATGGGAATCCTTTTACTGTTGAAGGGGACAAGCTTCGCAGAATGTGATAACACATGCATATATTCAAGATCAGTATGTCTCTCGTGATAATTTCAACATAGATGAGACCGGCAAAAGTTGTATGAAGAATATGTGGCAGAAAGAATCAATGGAACAGCCAGCCTATGGGCTTCAGTGAAGAAGGAAAACAACCATCTCTACATGTCTGACAGCAAGAAACAAACAGTGAAACTTCGGAGACAAGATTGTGGACCTGAAAGAAACAAAGGACTTGTATGGACGGTTGATGATTTTAGCCAGATCAAGCCGCTTGATATTGACCTTGAAACATGCTATAGGGGAACTATGAATTCACACTGACACCAAGAGCATTCTTTTCCCCGGATGGCATGTTGTTACAATGTACAGACAAGTCAAAACTCATCAGTTGCCTTGAGGAACTGGGTAAAAAGTCATATGATCAGTGATCCAGAAATGGCCCTCAACTTGACCAAATTGACTCTGCAGTGTATAGGATTGCTGTAGTTGATGGTATGGTTCTTCTACAGAAGATGACACAGTTACCTCCTGCAGTGGTGGAGACAGTAAAGGATCTAAGTCAGTGCTTCAATAACCCGACTGATGAGCCTTTACAAGAGAATTTGATGAAGTCATTCTTGTGTTTGATACCTATAAACCTGATTCACTTAAATGGTCAACAAGGGAAAAAAGACGCCATGGCAAGGATCCAGTCCAGTACCAAATAACTGATGAAACAAGAATCAAGCACATCACATTGAAGCGCATTCTTATCTCACGACACTCAAACCAAGGATGACCCTTGCAGAGTACCTAGCAACAAAGACCATGGAGTACAACAAGGATTCATCAAAGCTCTTCATCACCTCAGCATCGGGTAACACAAGAAGTAACAGCAGCATCAACTTTGAGTCAAACAACCATGAAGAGGCTGACACACTGATGATCTACCAAGCCATCTGTGCATCTCAGCCAAACTCGTGGTGACTCTGAACTTGTTTTCTTCTCCAGATACTGGACGCCCCTCGCGGCTAATCATAGCAAATTATGATCACCTGCCAGTAAAGACATCTATCTGCATGGCATCAGGTGAAGTACAAATACAGCATATATGGAAATCACTTGGGGTTGAAAAAGCCAAGGCTCTGCCAGCCTTCCATGCCTTTTCTGGAGCTGATAACACAAGTAGATTTTCTCGCATTGGGAAGACAAATTGGTTCAAGACGCTTCTAAGAGCCACCGAAGACACTGTTGAAGCCTTTGCAGCTGCTGTGTTGTAGAGAAGATCTTGATGAAGAAACCTTTTCAACATTAGCTAGATTTGTATGTGCTGTGTATTGTCCAAAAACAATCACCTTGAATGAAATTCCTGAACTCAGATGGTATCTCTTTGCAAGCACATGGCTGAAAGTGATAGGCTCCTCCAACACTTGGTGCCTTGAAACAGCACATTCACAGAGTTCAGATGCAGGCATGGGTATGGGCTCAAGTTCATGTTGCCAAACAAGTCTTCTTGGACCCAATGAGATAATGGGTTTCATAGGGATAAGGATGCTCAGCTTAGACCAGTCACCACAGATGTTCTGCCAGCTCCCCCAGGCTATTCTCGAGATGGTTCGATGCCAGTGCAAGACAGACTGTTCAACTCTCAGCGGTGTACATGCAAATCAAAGGACTTACCATGTACTGAACTTTGTCAATGCAGTAATCAGTGTGAGAATGAAGAGTCTCAAGTGGAGGAAACAGTTCCTGATGATAACTTTGATGAACTGCTGTAAATATATCTTATGATGAGTGTGAAAGACTCTCCTTTCGGTGACATTGTGGATATATACTTTCATCATTAATGACAACTTTTCGATTGAGATATGATTACATGTCTGAAATGGAAATCCACGATGATATTGATGACTTGCTGTAAATGGTGTTGTGTATTTGGTGCTTATATTGTCTGAAGATTGCAACATCTGAGGATAGACATTAAGCTATCAATTCTGTGACATTGTGGACATTCATCTTCAACCTGTTCCTAACGCTTTACACCACTGATCAACAAGTTAGTAGTTTCATTGATTTTTAACAGCTAGTGTGGTTATCATAACATTCATAATATTCTTGTTTTATACAGAGCAAAATAAGTATAACAAAATACAAGTGTTTGGGAGTTCAGTGTATAGATATATATCCTAAATAGCTGATATGAAATATGTAATGTTTAGATTTTGTATATAATAACACATTTCCCTTCATGTATACACATTAACAGTGTCTTTGATACTGGGGTGTATACAAGTCATCCTTAACAGCATAAAAGCTTCAAAATATATACTGAAAAATAGAACCAGAATTGTAACCTTTAAAAAGTGAAAAAAAAGGGTGGCACATTATTGAATGTGGCGGCCATTTTGAAATCCAAGATGGCCGCCAATGGGATGATGGGAAAAATTGGAAACATTGTTTTTTACATCAAGTGTAGTGAGTGGTTTAAGAAAATGTATACTGTTGCTAATCTCCAATTTCTTTGAACGAAAATACATAATACAATGGACTAAACTGGCTGTAATATAATTATAAACCACTCTTTTTTCCACTCTCCTCATTTTAGGATCTGTAGACTAGCTAAGCAAACACTATAAAAAACATAATGCCTTTTACGAGTCCACTCTCTATGTTATCATTGATGGTTCTTATTTCAAACAGCTGACAACGGTGAGTGAGTTTAGTTTTATGCCGCACTCAGCAATACTCCAACTATATAGCTGCGGTCTGTAAATAATCGAGTCTGTACCAGACAATCCAGTGATCAACAGCATGAGCATTGATCTACGCAATTGGGATACGATGACATGTGGAAATTAATTCAGCAAGCCTGACCACCCGATCCTGTAAGTCGCCTCTTACGACAAGCATGGGTTACTGAAGATCAATTCTAACCCAAATCTTCACGGGTCCAGTTGACAAGAAAACATGGAAGCTCATACCCCTTCTCCATCTTGCTTCTTTGCATCCAAAGCCGCTTGCTTTTCCTGTTTAGCCTTTAGTTTGGCTAATTTCTCCTGCTTTTTTGCTTCTTTCAACAATTCCTTCTCACTCTTTTGCCTTGGAGCACCTGAAAATAAATTATGTGTTGATAAATTACAGGTTTGCATGTGGCAAGGTTTGGGTAATTTGGCAACCACAGCTTGATGCACCTCATCCAGACCTTTACCTGTTAGCATGTGACTCATACAGTGGAGTGAGTGAGTGAAGTGAGTGTGAGTGAAAGTGAGTGAGTGAGTGAGTGAGTGAGTGAGTGAGTGAGTGAGTGAGTGAGTGAGTGAGGTTTTATGCCGCTTTTAGCAATATTCCAGTTATCACAGCTGGCTGACACATGAAATGGGCTTCTCACATTGTGCCCATGTGGGGAATCGAATCTGGGTCTTTGGCATGATGAGCGTACACCTTAGCCACTAGGCTACCCCACGCCCCTACCAGTAGTAGAAAGATCTATCAAACCATTGATTTATTAATCATTATTCCCACCAAAAACACCCTGAATTTGTTTTGAAATTATGTTGAATTTTGTGTTAGTGATTACAGAAGTGACATATTTGCATTTTTACACAAATGATTGCCAGATTCACTTCAAAATTTATTTACTGATTGACATGTTTATCATTTTTATTAGGAAAATGCCTGTTACAAGTCATGCATCTGCAAAGACGTTTCACTAAAACTAAGCAACAGAATTAGCAGAATTATCAAATTAAATTTGATCTCTGAATTCAGCAGGAAATGATACATCAGGTGAGGGAGACATTGCAACAGGCTGTCGGCATCTGCAAGCTGATGTGTCCCACATTAAGTGTTGCTGATAATTATTCTGATATCTAGTATAAGTACCAATTTGCTCATGCATTACTAAGTAGTTTATACTTTATAAATAGGATATGCAAATAACGGGAAAATCTTGTTGCAGTGGCAGTAGTATATCTATACCAACATACACCAAACAAAAATTCTAATGCGCGGTCTATGGCGCTGGCAGTATAGGTATTTTCATGATCAAGTATCATGGGTAAGACCAATATATTAGGAGTCTTGTTAATTCTGTGTAAGAAACACTTGTGACAGTGATTGCATACAGATTACTGTCAAGCATAATTGTGTTGAGTTGAAGGGACCTGCATAAATAATGGATATCCGAACTTCGATACAACCACAAAATGTCTAAATAAGAAATACTCGGGGAGCCATTTTTCATTCGAGACAATCCCGCCGTGATGTTGCTGGAATATTGCTAAAAGCGGCGTAAAACCAAACTCACTCAGTCAGTCAGTTATTCGAGACAACCGTAACTTCGACACATCCACCTTCGACACAAAGGTGTTTGACTTTACTTTCGAACAACTTCAAAATGTTTTATACACATGCGATTTGCATTGGCCCTGTAATCTTGACCTGACAATAACAATCAACCAATTGAAAATCTATCTGATCACAAAGTTTTCCAAGTTGCATTGATTCGGAGCGTCTGCTGCAACGTAAACAGCCGGCTGAAAACCGACAGTCTCGATCCGACCCTACCTTCACCTCCAGCTCCATTATCCGTTTTCGTTTGGGCTGCCGTGTCCTCAGTCGACATCGTCGCAACGTCGTTGACTTTCACTCAAACCGATCCGAAGTTTAAGTACTTTTATAACAGGCCAGTTTCACCGTGATGAAAGTGTTGCATGAGATTTTTACAACGAGGCTGACATGTGGCTTCCGGTACCGGTGTCAATATCCGGTGTGAGGGACGAGGCTAAAACGGCAACATATCATATTTGGTTATTCCCCTATGAATCAGACCTAACAAATCCGATTTTTAAAACACAAACTGATAATATGTGTACAGGGTCTCAAACACACAGAAAGAAGATGTGTGCCGTTTTTATCAGGTAAAAGGGCCAGTTAAAAGTGACGTTTTAGCAAAGTTAAAGGCACCGTTCGCGACGTTGAGTGCCATTTGGGTATTGTGACGTTTGACGTGCTGCCGTTTTATCTCTGCGTGATGTTCTAGTGAACTATTTGAACGCCGGATTATCGAACGATTGATTGATCTTATATCAGCAAGGGTATTTAGGGTTTTAATTTCATTAACAAGACTGTGAATTAGGTCAAACAAGAAAACAACAGTTCATTTCAGTGCTTAAATTTGAACTAAGGGGTGGTGTAATCTTTGGCAATCACAATACCCTGAATTACACATGCAGCTATCATGATCTGGAAACTCGGTCATGGTAAAAATAATGTGAATGTTAGTGATGAAATATCATGTAATCGAGATGTTTACATATGTAAAGATATGTGGTATCACTTTTTGTAGACTCTTTCTAGTTTTCTTCATTCATTCTATCTCGATCGTCGCTGTATTACTGAATAATATGTTTTAAATATGTACTAGATCTATATAGGTCACACATTTGTGTATCTTGAACAAATTGGTAAACTAGTAGTGGCAGATGTCAGATATGTAGGGATCAAGGCAAAACATACTTCGTATTGTTCTAACGTGGCACAGTTTAAGTCTAAAATCACCGATTTTATGCACATGCTACTAACGTATCTGTAATGTGTGATATTCTTGAAAACGCGGAAAGTGAGTGTATCCTGCACCGTCACATACACGTGCAAAGACAAGTAAAGAGTTCACCCGACGAAACAGCGGAACATATGGCTAGGCAGAGGCGGAAACAGCTTTCTGTGAAAGAGGGGTGGGGGTATGACGATGTAATTTTTTGTAGACAGCATGTGTTCGATAGTACATATAAAAGTAGTGTTAGGTGCACACCAAAGCTACGTACGTAATGTATAGTGAGTGTGTTAAGTTTTACGCCGCTCTTAGCAATATTCCAGCAATATCACGGTGGGGGACACCAGAAATGGGCTTCACACATTGTACCCATGTGGGGAATCGAACCCGGGTCTTCTGCGTGACTCGAGCGAACGTTTTAACCACTGGGCTACCCCACCGCCCCCGTAAGGTGTAGTAGTGGGCATGGAGGGCTAGTTGAGTATGGGAATGTTGATTTCACCCTCATGCCATAAAGTCTTGCTCAGACTTTGGTGGTCACTCTGATCTTTGAGGATAGATCTAAGTATCACAAAGAGAAGGCAGTTTCTATAGTCTCATATATATCTAGTTCAGGTGGATAAAACAGGAACGGAAATAAATACTTCTTTTACACGGACACAAAATAAATGAATGAATAAATAAAACATGGCACACACAAAAATAATGTGTGACCCCTCCCCACCTTCACACACACACATAAAATAAATAAAATAAAACAACAACAAAAGTGATGAACTGAATAAAACGACCCAAACCACACGCAATTTAAACGGATCAAAATGGACGGAAGCATAATATTGTTGCTTACTTTGAAATCCACCATTTCATAAATTGATTTCCCAGTAAACATCAGATGCCAGGTGGTTGGATATATGACGCATTGTACGGAACCTCTGAAGAAAGTGCATGATGATGTAGAATCGTAGATATGTTTACGTACGGTCATCACGCTTAGTTACATATGCTCCATGGATCAAGGAATAAAGTTTTCCTTTAGGCCTGTCACGTGGGATAGTGTAGTACAATGTTGAGAAAATCAATTGTTTTCACATAGTTGACGATGCAAAAGTTCAAACAAACCATGAATATTCACATCAGGAATTACAGATCTTGTAGTCAAGTGTTATGTGGGCCAAATATACCCTTCATAATTTGTAGATATTATTTAGATATTTAATAATTTTTCAAATTGGCAAACTCCTGCATTTCTTGGTTCGACACTCTCGGTTCTTGCATATACTTAACTGTGGTTTACTGGAATGACGCGAAATGTGATGATGATGATGATGATGATGATGATTGATGATGACTGATGATGAAGTTGATGACGTTATTCTTAGGTGTTCAGTGGTAAGATAGGAACTCAACAACCTTCCCTTGTTATGCGAATCAGACACATGTAGACAGGGTTCCCAGTTATCTCAAAGTGCCACAATTCACAGTGACCGACATCTACGATTGTGAGTTTGAATTATGGCCAGGCCCCACGATGTTTCCAGGTTTGTCCGCACCATGCACTTGCTAGTGAGATTTTACCAAAGTCGTAATGTTTGAGACTTCCATAATGTCGGAACTTCCTCTGAGATTACGCCGACTCATCGTAACTCACTCATTCACGAAATAAATTAACTGTAATTTACTGACACTCTTTAAAAATTGTACCAGGAACTCTCCGAACTACAGAAAAACCTTTCGGAGGAATGTAAACGTTCTTCTTTATCATCCAAAACTGTGTTCCACAGGAGATATCGCTTGTGTGAGATCAAACGATATCTCGGAGATATCGTTTTGACAGTAGATTTTGTACAATGCCCTGTCAATGCTATGACGTCATGTACTTGATGACGTCACAATGCTATGACATCGCTGCACTGCAAGTCTAATGGCAGTACCATGTTCACAGATGAACATTTTTCATTGAAAACTAATGAAGAGTGATTTTGGATGATAAATAGAATCTCACCCTCGTGTCTTCTGATATCAAATATAACACTCGTTGATAAAAGTAAAATATCCTCGGCAAGCCTCGGATATTTGTAACTTTATCGACTCGTGTTGATATGATTGATATCAGAAGACACTTGGGTGAGATTCTCTATATATCATGCCATTTTGTCTTAAAATGTAACTTTCCTTCCATTTTGGAAATCAAAGTAAAACGTCTGTCACTTTTCTAGAATGTCCCAATTTTTTGCCATTCGAACTACATTGTATATGTAACGTGGTGTTATAAGTATGTTATAACTATCCAAACACTCCAAAAGCGTCTGTGGTGATACTCATTATTACATACAACCGCCCACGAGATGAATTGTATACCAGAGAACTGTATACCATCATTCATGACATCAGTTTTGTATATGGTATCTGTTTCGGCTCATTCGTACCTTTACATCCAATAGACGTTACCTGTCAGTTGTGTTTCTTTTGTATCAAATAATGACATACTGCACTATGCTCTTTAGATTGCGATATTTAAATTATACCGTACATCTACAGAGTCAGATGACAAAGCTGGTAAATTCTGTGAAACTGCTGTTTTGACGGGATACGGTGATTTCGTAGACTGAACCAGTTCGTAGACGCGGTGGATTCGTAACCCAGACTGTTTCGTAGACGGTGATTTCGTAGACGTGTATTATTAATTGAATAATAGTATATATTTTGATTATAAGTTTGATTTTTTTTTATGGGATATAACGAAGTTGTTATGCTTTGTTTTCAGTGATACGAAACTAAGGGCAGCTAAGGACATGAAAGTGTGATTGAAGAGTGAACGAATATTTTCCCGTATCTTGTCTAGACTTGTTTTACATGTATTTGTATATGTAGGGCTTGTGTTGTATTTTTGGTTTTCAGTGATACGAAAATATTGTTACTTGTGAAGCGTCGTAAAATGTAAAAAGACAGACAACATTGTTATGGAAGAGTGATAATGTAATATATTTATGATCAACAACAATTTTCCCAACAGCACGTATCACAGTAGTATCACAGTCACTCAGTGACCATTGGTCCATTTAGTTTGGACACCTCTCTCAGCAGCTGGGACACGGTAAGAGTTGTTGCTTGGAAATCGTCCCATAACCTAAAAAATTTATCCGACTTGGCACGCTGGCCAGCATTCTGCCTTCTATCCAGCTGACCGTCTGTGACAAGTCGAATCTGCAAGGGCAGCAGGTCAGCTTCTCTGAAGAGGAGGGGAAGCAGCCTGTAAAAAGGTAGGCAACGTCGCCCTGGTTTAAGCGCTTGTGCCAGCTTTCCAGGTCATTGTTCGTCCGGATGGCCGTCCCAAAAACGCTCCAATTAGTAATGGTCCACACAGAGCTTCGGATCCATGTTGACTCATAATATTCACAGAGGGCGATCAGATTCGGTGTCACTGCTTGCTGTTTCACCTTCATAAATGCTGGCTCGATTTGGGCTGAGTCTAGGAATTGCAAGCCCATAAGCTTTTTGATGAATCTAGAAAACAAAAATGTGAGGCATAATACTAATGAAATGTAGATAATTTTTTTAACAAGATCATCTGAAAGAGTGTAAAAAGAAGGAAAAAAATATCCACCTGTGTGTTCCCACGTCCTCTTCGTAAGCCGTAGCCAGATCCCAAGTTCTGCACCTTCCTATAAATCGCCAGATTCATATGGAAGGTGCAGCCCTTGATCTGGACGGACGGAAAAACTCTTTGAAACCCTCTCCAGGTCGCCGCCTCAAAGTCCATGACCATTTTTTCAACAGCTGCGTTGTCCATTAGGTCGTTGACCGCGTTGAAGACCTGTTAAACAGATAATTACATCATTAATTGATGACAATGAACAAAACTTTACAGCAAGTACAGTAATTACAAACAAAAGGGGAACTTGTTTCATCGACGATCCGGAGACGAGGAAAGCATGGATGGACAGCAGCTGGTGGAAAGGGGGTGACACAACACGGAATATAGAATCTATGTACCAAGTCTTGGCCGTCTTTAAAGTCTTTAACATAATTTAAAATATACCGAATACTGAAAGCGAACACCATACATACCTCAAAATCCAAGTCTTTGGGTTACGATCACCCTGGCGATGGTAATTAATTTTGCGGGCTGCTTGGATCAGAGGTGGCAGGGAGGGGCATGGGCAGCTGGCTTCACTCTCTGCTTTGTAAATTTCCTCGGCCATCACGCCAGACGACTTGTAGTAATCGCCCGACTTGGCGACAACCCTGATCTGAAGAAATGAACAATTTCAAATTATTGCTGTAGTTGCTAAAGATCTTATAATAATATTACATAATACAAACGTTACATATATTGATACGTTATGAACAAAACGACAAAATACCTTCATGTTGATGGTGGCCTTGGTCAGAAGTCCTGTCGTCGGCTCATGGTTGTGGTCGGCTGCTCCGCGGGTGAAAGTTTCACCTCTCTGTGAAACCGCGGCAGTGCACCGACCCTCCTTTGGCCGCACAGAGCACCACCAGTACACAGCATACGATCTTGACTTCTGTTAAAGAAAGAAACATATTTTAGTATATATTTTAGTAGTTACATGTGTATACAAACGTCGTTCAAATGTAATCAAATACGTAGGACTCATTTCATTATTCATTACCTGGATGGTGTAGGAAAATCCTCTGTTGTCAACTAAAAGTGGTTTGCCACGCTTGCTGCCGGTCGGGAGAATAGTCCACTCGGCTTGAAGCTGATGGTCGTCGGGCAGGGGTTGGGGGTCCGGGTCAGCGATAGAACTAAAATGATGAAATATCAAATTCAAAATTTACATTGAATTATATTAATATGATTAATTATCTAACTGAAATGAAATAATAATGAATAATGAAATTAATAAAACTCACTCCTCTGTTGCGTTGATGGTGGCGGCAGTGAGGTCGAAGGATGAGTCCACGGGCGATGTAGGAGATGTAGGGTTCGGCGACGATGGTGGAGAGAGAGGCAGGGTCGGGGACAGAGGAAGAGTCGGAGAAGGTGGAGACGGCGGGGGTAGTGAACATCTCTTACAGGTGAAGTCCATCTGCAGGTGCCCTTTCGTCATCTGGCGGTAGGTTGCGATGTCTATCCCTGTGTCGCAAAGGCGATGCTGCCACTGATCGCAGCTGTCGCACTGGATGGCATGTTGTCTCGGACGCACTTCTTCCACACATACAACGCATAGAGCCATGGTTGATGCAGAATGATTTCTTCTTACCTTCTTGAGGTTTATATACCATAAGTGTGTGTACAGGTAAACTTTGTCGGCGGATTAGACAAAATTAGTCTACTCATCATAATTTCCCGACTGTTTTCATTGTTGTGGGAGGATTAACAGGTTTCACTGAGTTGTTGTGAATGTGGATTAACAGGTTTCACTGAGTTGTTGTGAATGTTAATTAGGAAGTGGTGAGTTGTTTTGATTGCGAAATACTCTGTGTGGGAGATGTAAGTGTTTTCTTAAGAAGTGTTTTCTGCTACTTCTCTGCTGGTCTGCGTAGTTGAACGTTGAATGAGGATACTTACCTAATACATATCTTTTAATTTTACACAACTGAATTTAATATATTAGCGGCCTATGATTTGTCGGAATTTGTCGGACATGGACCACTGTGAAGCATATTTTATTATTTTAAGGATATTTTCACCGCCGATCATACTTACCTGATATATTTTATTTATTTCACAAAATGCAAACACTTTTCGTCGATTTTCTTCATCATTGAGGATGAACCTTTCCCATTTTAATAACGTCTACGAATCCACCGATTTCCATCCGTCTACGTCTACGAATTCACCTACAGCCGTTTTGACGCATTGCCGTTTTAGTCTTTTGCATTTTCGATACGCGTTTGTTATAAATATATAATAAATATAGTAATAAATATATACAATACTTAAAAACAACCGAGGTTGTTGGTTGTGAAAACTAATACTATTCTGCGCGTTATTAGAAGAAATGTTTCTTAGATCATCACGTTGACTTTCCTTACATAAACAAGATGGCGGCGCCCACAAGGTTACGTGCGTGTGTAAATATATTGCATCAAACTTGCAAAGATGTCCAGTATTCGCGTTATTTCTTTAGACCATCACAGACAACACAAAATGCAACACCATACCGTTTTCAGTCTACTTCTCAGGGATATCGACAGAACGCAAGAAAGCGAAACTGGTCAATCTTCACAAGGGCTTCAATGTTTACACTTGGATCCGCCCTGATCGGCTTTGAAGGATGGAAGGTTTACGCAAGTGGAAAAGTGAAACCCGACTTGACACCATCTAGACGGGTTTGTTATATGATAGAAAAATATTAAAAACAATATTGAAACAAACAACTTCATGGATGACAACTTTTAGAGAGATAACATCATTGTCAAGCTGAAAGGGTCTATGGCAGTGATGGGCCTTTTGTATTAGCCTGTGGCAGTGATGACATGTTACGTCATCACTGCAGTATGATTTCATCAGTCTAGGCATGACCTACTCCAGATGAATGTGGACCTGCCAAATCCTTGCCGTTGTGTTTGTTTACCTTGTATTCAACATCCGATTGTTTACCTTTCTGCTTATTACAGTACCATGCCGTCATATGATTCCGTGGTACTTACATTTCCGTGTAATTTTCTAAAGACATAATTTCTCACGAGCCGTTTGCCAAATCGCGCCACCTATTGATTGTTTACGTTCATCAGTCGATCGGCACGGCTCTGAGCAAAAAATGTTCAGACTTTCATCAATTTGCATACGTACAGTCATCTACTATTAAAAACTAATGCAACTTTATGTCTAGCACGTAATGCACTTTTTGTGCAATCATTACAAACATTTTCTATAAACTTCATTCAAAGTTTTCCAAAGATCGCTCGTCTGCTAGCTGATGTCATCAATAAAAATAATCACGTAACCCAAGGGGGGAATCCCAGCTCTATTTTTTAAACTAATGAAGCCCGATAGGGTCATCTCTTAAGTTGTTACCGGTATTTCACTTTTCATTTCACGTATCCCCTTGATCAACTCAACATATTTTATGAACTGGAAATTTATTTCGTGATTGAGTAAGTTACGGCAGAGACCATATAATATTATATGGTCTCTGGTTACGGTGAGTCGGCGTAATCTGAGAGGTAGTTCCGACATGATGGAAGTCTCAAACATTTACGACTTTGTTAAATCTCACTAGCAAGTGCATGGTGCGGACAAACCTAGAAACATCATGGGGCCTTGCCATAATTCAAACTCACAATCGTAGGTGTCGGTCACTGTGAATTGTGGCACTTTGAGATAACTGGGAAACCTGTCTACATGTGACTATATTTTAAATCATTTACTGTATTACAATTTATCATCTTCGTTATTACTGTAAACCTACATTGACACTCCCGGATTGGCTGTTGACAACGTGTGAGATTATGACGTGCTGTGCGTCCGTAATTTGATCTGTAGGAAATACCATGGAAACATATGACGTCACCAGAGTTTGTGCACAATGGCCGCCTGTCGTCCGATATGGACAACACTGAACTTCAGAATGACAAAAGTGTTTTATTGACATTAAATGATACAAAGGTATGTCGTCTAACACTGTGTTATGTTTATATGACTTGGCAATATGAGCGATCATATTCATAGTCGTAAATTTCTTAATACCACGGAAACCCATGACGTGAGGGTATCAAAGTGAAGCTCCCTATAAATTAGTTTGATTTTGTATTTTCACAACACAGAAAGTTGGTTTGTTTCAATAGTGTTTTCCTAATAGTCCTGATTCAAACATATTTCCCTAATAGCCTGTCAAAATGTACACCACCCTGCTACCCACCCACACTCCATCACCTCCTCAGTCAGTCAGTTTGTCAGACATTCACTTGCTCACTCGCTCCTTCCTTCCTCCCCTTCCCTCACACACACACAACACACACAAACACAAACACAAACAGATCATAACATAACATAACACTCAAATGGGACCACTTCCTCATTCCGACACCAACACCTACCTACTCACCATTCTGCCAAACCACCAACTCATTAACCCAACCATACCCCATATTTCACAAACTGACAATGCCATTCTGAACCAAAACTGATTATAATATAATAATATAATTATATAATATAATGTTACAGCTAATATAACATGACTTGTGATTTGTTTCAGGTGCACATCGACACCAACACAAGTGGACTGAAACTGACATTATTTCAGTATCAGACATGTCCATTCTGCTGCAAGGTGCGAGCCTTCCTAGACTATCATGGCTTTTCCTATGACATAGTGGAGGTCAACTCTATTACCAAGAAACAGCTCAAGTGGTCCCAGTACAAGAAAGTGCCTCTGTTGGTGCTAGATGGTGTTGGTGAAGATGATTTTCTGGTGAGATCTATTATTGGGTCACCATGGTTTCTGAGTTTTGAGTCTGTTTTTAACCTGTTTCTTCACTAACTAGAACGCTATTGTTTGTCTTTAGAAGCTAAAAGTACTTTTGTTTAGATCACTATTTTTTAAAGTTATTTTTGTAATGATGTTTATGTGTCAGTTCAGTAGGAAAATAAATAGTGGTTATATTCTTTGAAATGGAAACTGTCAATGACTATTCTCATAGCAAATATTAATCCGGGTTAGAATTGGTCATCAGTAACCCATGCTTGTCGTAAGAGGCAACTAACAGGATTGGGTGGTCAGGCTCGCTGAGTTGGTTGACACATGTCATCACTTCCTAATTGAGTAGATTGATGCTCATGTACATCAGCAATATTCCAGCTATACGGCGGTGGTCTGTAAATAACTGAGTCTGGACCAGACAACCCAGTGATCAACAGTATGAGCATCGATCTACACAATTGGGATACGTGGACGCATGTCAACTTGGTATTCAGCCTCACTAACTTGGTTGTTGCATGTCATCGTATCCCAATTGCGTAGATCGATGCTCATGCTGTTGATCACTGGATTGTCTGGTCACTTGACTATTTTCACTACTCCCTGATATCTTTAATGGGACCAAAAGCAGTCTTATGCAAAAAACAGACGGACAAATCATGTTCTACCCTCCTTTTCAAAGGCTGTGTTTGTTCTTAGGCCATGCGGGACTCGTGTGTGATAGTGAGTCTGCTACAGTCATACATGGAGAACAGGATGCAAAAGATGGATCAACTCTACTCCTACTACCCCTGCATCGAGTCCAAGGAGGGCCGCAAGACTGTGTATGACTTCCCCAACAAGTACTTCATCATGTACATGGACCGAAGCATAGATACCACGCCAGAAGAAAGAAAGTAAGTAAAACATATTGTTTAGTTACCGTTGTATTTTACCGAATGGGTACAATCGATGTGTGAAGCGCATTTCTGGTGTCCCCTGCCATGATATTGCTGGAATATTGCTAAAAATGACATAAACCATAATTGTATGCTGTCAATCAAGGAATAGTCTCCAGACTCAATTATTTACAGGCTTTTGTCATATCGCTTAAATATTGATGAGACCCATGAAGATCTGTGTTAAAATTGATCTTCAGTAACCCATGCTTGTTGTAAGTGGCGACTAACGGGATCAGGTGGTCAGGCACGTTGACTTGGTTGACACATGTCATCGTATCCCAGTTGTGTAGATTGATGCTCGATGGATTGTCTGGTCCAGGCTGAATTATTTACAGATCGCTGCCATATAGCTGGAATATTGCTGAGGGTGACGTAAAACTTAACTTACTCACTCACTTAAATGTTGATGAGTGTGATGTTAAACAACAAAAACAAACGTGTGTCCATATGTACACACATGGGATTTAGCAACTGCATGAAGTAATGACGATATAATGACACTTTGCCTTTGAAACTTGTCTTGAATCCTCTAAACAAACACTTTTGCCTTTGCAGAGAGGAGAGAAAATGGCGCCAATGGGCTGACAGTAATCTGGTGCACATGTTGTCCCCTAACGTGTACCGGACACGCTCAGAGGCTGTACAGGCCTTTCACTACTTCTCGATGTGGGCTTAATGGGAGAAGAACTTCTCCAGTGTTGAGAGACAGATTGTCATCTACCTTGGTGCTGCAGTCATGTACTTCCTTGGCAAGATGCTCAAGAATAAGTAAGTTTCATTGAAATGATGGCTGAGCACTTTCATCTCTTCCTCACTTTGTCCAAAGGCGTTGGTGTAACCTAATGGTTAAAATGTTTCCTTCATGAGTTGGTTGGATTCCACATGTAAAGCCATACTGTGCTGTAGAGTGAGTGAGATTAGTTTTATGCTGCTTTTTTTAGCAATATTCCTCACAATATATATCCCTAGAATATGTGTGCAATATGACTCTATCCCAGTAATGTACTTTTATTTCATCAGTCCATATTATCTCCCTTGCTCATTAGAATTGGTCTTCAGTAACCCATGCTTGTCGTTCAGCCTCACTAACTTGGTTGTTGCATGTCATCGTAATCCCAATTTATCGTAGATCGATGTTCATGCTGTTGATCAATGGATTGTCTGGTCACTGACTATTTTCACTACTCCCAGACAGTGATATCTTTAATGGGGCCAAAAGCAGTCTTATGCAAAAACAGACGGACAAATCATGTTTTACCCTCCTTTTCAAAGGCTGTGTTTGTTCTTAGGCCATGTTTGCGGCGGGACTCGTGTGTGATAGTGAGTCTGCTACAGTCATACATGGAGAACAGGATGCAAAAGATGGATCAACTCTACTCCTACTACCCCTGCATCGAGTCCAAGGAGGGCCGCAAGACTGTGTATGACTTCCCCAACAAGTACTTCATCATGTACATGGACCGAAGCATAGATACCACGCCAGAAGAAAGAAAGTAAGTAAAACATATTGTTTAGTTACCGTTGTATTTTACCGAATGGGGTACAATCGATGTGAAGTGCATTTCTGGTGTCCCCTGCCATGATATTGCTGGAATATTGCTAAAAATGACATAAACCATAATTGTATGCTGTCAATCAAGGAATAGTCTCCAGACTCAATTATTTACAGGCTTTTGTCATATCGCTTAAATATTGATGAGACCCATGAAGATCTGTGTTAAAATTGATCTTCAGTAACCCATGCTTGTTGTAAGAGGCGACTAACAGGATCAGGTGGTCAGGCACGCCGACTTGGTTGACACATGTCATCGTATCCCAGTTGTGTAGATTGATGCTCGATGGATTGTCTGGTCCAGGCTCAATTATTTACAGATCGCTGCCATATAGCTGGAATATTGCTGAGGGCGACGTAAAACTTAACTTACTCACTCACTTAAATGTTGATGAGTGTGATGTTAAACAACAAAAAACAAACGTGTGTCCATATGTACACACATGGGATTTAGCAACTGCATGAAGTAATGACGATATAATGACACTTATGCCTTTGAAACTTGTCTTGAATCCTCTAAACAAACACTTTTGCCTTTGCAGAGAGGAGAGAAAATGGCGCCAATGGGCTGACAGTAATCTGGTGCACATGTTGTCCCCTAACGTGTACCGGACACGTTCAGAGGCAGTACAGGCCTTTCACTACTTCTCCGATGTGGGCGAATGGGAGAAGAACTTCTCCAGTGTTGAGAGACAGATTGTCATCTACCTTGGTGCTGCAGTCATGTACTTCCTTGGCAAGATGCTCAAGAATAAGTAAGTTTCATTGAAATGATGGCTGAGCACTTTCATCTCTTCCTCACTTTGTCCAAGGGCGTTGGTGTAACCTAATGGTTAAAATGTTTCCTTCATGAGTTGGTTGGATTCCACATGTAAAGCCATACTGTGCTGTAGAGTGAGTGAGATTAGTTTTACGCTGCTTTTAGCAATATTCCACACAATATATATCCCTAGAATATGTGTGCAATATGACTCTATCCCAGTAATGTACTTTTATTTCATCAGTCCATATTATCTCCCTTTGCTCATTAGAATTGGTCTTCAGTAACCCATGCTTGTCGTAAGAGGCGACTTATGGGATCGGGTGGTCAGACTCGCTGACTTGTTTGACACATGTCATCGTATCCCTATTGCATAGATTGATGCTCATGCTGTTGATCACTGGATTGTCTGGTTCACCAGACTCGACACCCACATTGTAGCCGGAATATTGCCGAGTGCTCTCATTCACTCACTCACTCTGCTGTCTGTAGACAACTAGGAAGTACTGGAGAATCTGCATAATCTGGTTCTTAAACTTTTCCTGCGATTATTGACATGTTTTTAGATCAATATAACTTGTAATGTTCTGTATGTATTGTGATACAGGTGTTGTAAATCATTAATTATTGTATCATGAGCCTTGTATCGTGATACAGTACTATATTGTCATATCGTTACACTCGTATTCTTCTGTTATGTGGCTTGACTGTTGCCGTAAGCAGCATTTATCCACGCTTGAACCATAAATTTCTGAGTTGTTAAGTGAGGAAAAGTAAAATTGTCTTGCTATGGATGTATTCAATGATCTCTGACAAATGTTTCTATTTTGAAGTTTTTGGTCTTAAAATCAGAATATACCCTTGTAGATATCATGTCTCCATTGGATTCTATAATTATAGGCCTTGAATTTAGATTTTGCCTTGAAAACTTTTCTGTCCATTCCCAATTGATGTTATTTCCCATTACAAAGATAATATTTCATATGCCTATTACTATTGACAGATATAAGTTGAAGGATGATGTCCGTGAGTCCTTGTACGACAGTTGTAGAGAGTGGACGAAGGCTCTGTCTAAAAAGAAGCAGGAGTTTATGGGAGGAGACAGACCTAATCTGGCTGACCTGGTGAGTTGTTCTGTGTAGTCCTCTTAATCTGCACTCTACATGTGTTAGACAGACTCCATCTCAGGCAGGGTACGTTGTCCTGAGCTGTGTGAAACCTTGGCCTTTCAACCAATGACAGGTCACTTTCAGGTTGTGTACATTGTCTGGAGTCACATGAAACCCTTGCCATTTAACCAATGACAGTTCACTTTCAGGCTGTGTACGTTGTCCGGAGTCGCATGAAACCCTTGCCATTCAACCAATGACTGTTCACCTTTAGACTGTATATATAGACTGTATTTAGTCATTGACTATGTCAAATCCTACCAATATCCTACTGCTTCCCTTTCAGGCTGTGTATGGTGTCCTGAGTTCCATCGAGGGTTGTGAAGCTTTCCAAGATGCTCTGTCCAACACAAACATTGGCCCCTGGTATCGGAGAACAAAAGCTGCTGTTAAAAGCCATGCTGGAGCAAATCCTCTGAACAGGAAGTCCTGATGATGTCATCCTGTCTCTTAGTGACAGAGCTCCCTACATCATCAAGATTACCTCAACCCAGCTCCATCAAATTGTTGTGTACACAGTGGTGTTGGGAGCTTGGACTGAATCATGTGATGTGACTATTAAACTATGGAACTTGCCCTTGTCAGCAAGAAGGAACTTCAAGTTGCTAGGCAACCATAACACAGATGCTTGTTATGAAACAGATAACTTGTTGCAGAAGTTGAGCCAAGAATAGGTTTGCTTTGTTAAGGAACAAGGAGTCTTTTGACTATTCTGCTGAATACAAAACAGACACTTAATGCAAACATCATGTTAGGAAAAGATTGTAAATGTCTGTTGGCTACAATTAGTTGCCAGAAAATGTCAGGGGTTGAAGTTAGGTTCGCTGGTCTGTACCATTATATTCAGATTACCACTTTTACCATTAGGTGACCCGTGAAGGTCCGGGCTAGAATTGATCTTCAGCAACCCATGCTTATCGTAAGAGGTGACTAATTGCATCGGGTGGTCAGGCTTGCTGACTTGGTTGACACATGTCATCATATCCCAATTGTGTAGGTCATGGTCATGCTGTTAATCACTGGATTGTCTGGTCCAGAATCGATTATCGCCGCCATATAGCTGGAATATTGCTGAGTGTGGTGTTAAACAATAACCAACCAACCACTGAGGGTGTGTTATCTTTCCACTCACCTTCTTTAAATGTTACTTCATTAGTCAACAAACTAATCTGCTTCAGTATGAATCAACAATATATGTTTCAACTAAACAGCTGTTGAGACATGGAGTTTTTAATTCCTTTGATGAATGTTAGATGTTACTAAGAGAGGCAGAAAGTAAATGACCTATAGCCTTGTGTTGGGTACTCCGCTCAGACACATAAAATGTGAGTTATGAATGAACACTACAAGTCTATTTGTGATGTATGTGCTATATGTGTGATTGCTGTGGTCAGGTATCCTGGACGAGATCCAGGAGAGTTCTCTCAGAATTTTATAGAGGACTATGCTGTTTTCAGCAGTTTGTCTAATTTCATTGTAGAATCGTGGATCTTGAAAAATATTAATCTTGGGAGAAAGATATCGCTGATTGGGTTTTGTTATTCATTTTCATGGATGATCAGATGAAATATGCATGCCATTTTAACAAATGCGTGCTCACATGCACACCCACTTACCAACCTGTGAAGATCCAGGTAAGAACTGGTCTTCAGCAAACCCGTGCTTGTCATAAGAGGCGACTAACAGGATCGGGTGGTCAGGCTCGCTGACTCGGTTGTCACGTGTCATTGTATCCCAACTGCGTGGATCAATGTTCATGCTGTTGATCACTAGATTGTCTGGTCCAGATTCGATTATTTACAGACCACCATCAAAGAGCTGTAATATTGCTGAATGTGGCATTAAATTACTAACACACAATACACACCGACATACCACTCAGATACCAGATGCACAGAACATGCACACACAGGTTCAGAGAACTTCCCATCGTTGATATGCAAGTCAAACTGGCATTGCTTAAGACAATTAGCCGTCCATTAACTGGAATTTTTGTGAATGTGGTTGGAATCCAAGATTGTATTGATTCTCGTCTTGTCAGCAACACAGCCAATTGTGTGCATGTATTGAAAACGCTGCATCCTTGAAGATAGCATGGCCTCATCATTGTTGATCCCTACTAATGCCAGGCGACCATGTCTGCATGGTGTGGACAGTTTAGTCACCAGATCACACTCTCACGATGCAAACTCTTAAGACAAGTCGTCAATACTGAAGAGTGGAACAATCTTCCAGCCATTCATACCGCCTCCGTGGTGCAGTGGTTAGAGCGTCCGCCCGTAGAGCCGAAGGGCGCGGGTTCGATCCCCAACCGCGTCATACCAAAAGACGTTAAAATATGGTACTTGTTGGTCCCTGCCTGGCGCTCGGCATTAATGGGTACAAGGACTGGTGGGCTCGGAGTCGGTATAATGTGTCTGAGTGGGGTATTCATGCTTCACTGCGGCATGGTATCTCAGTGGGCTAGCACTATAAAACCAGCTTCAGTGTGGGCTAGTACAAGCAGCCGCACATACACATACACACACATGCACCTCGTCATCTCAAGCACGACGTTAAACCCAATTTCACCTCACCTCACCTCCAGCCATTCATACACTTATTAGGAGCAAGAGATGACAATGCCAGGCTTTGATTTCTCCTTGAGGATATAAGTGCAATGAAGAGTTCTTTTCAGCAGACCCGTGAAGATCTGAGTTAGAATTGATCTTCAGTGACCCATGTTTGTCGTAAGAGGTGACTAATAGGATCGGTCGGTTGACTTGGTTGACACGCCATCGTATCCCAGTTGTGTAGATCAATGCTCATGTTGTTGATCACTGGATTGTCTGGTCCAGACTTGATTATTTACAGACCGCCGCCATATAGCTGGAATATTGCTGAGTGCGGCGTTAAACTAAACTCACTCACTCTTTTCAGTGGACAATGAAAATTTTGTCGACATTTTTTAGGGTTCAGTTCTGGTACTCCCATGTTGACAGGTGAATTACTGGTCACATGTTGTTTGTTGGTATTGTGTGGTACCTGGCCTAAGTAGATCTAAATCAAGGTGTGCGTTTAATATCACTGTTCAATACTTTCAACAGCTCATGCATAAAGCAGCAGGTTGAAAGTGGTTGGAAACGTCCAAATGACACAGGTCTTAGACACTTACCACTTTTGTGTCTACAGATGTCAGATCATGAGCAGTGCAAAACTGACTTTTTCAACATAGGGTCCAAACTCATAGATAATAATGAGAATATTTATAACGTGTCTTTTCCAAGCTAGATATCCTGCTCAAAGTGCACAATCTGATCATTATTACCCTGGACTTCACTGGGTACACAATTTCTGCTGGGTGAACAGAGGCAATTTTGAACAAACTCACTTGCCTAAGGTGAGACCACATGTATCACATGTGCATCGTTGTGTGGCAAGGACCGAAGTCCTAGAAACTCTCAGGAGTCAAGCTGTCACACACAGTCACCCATCCAAGGACTGTCTGCGCCCAAGTTGCTTAATTTCAACTGACTTGTGATCTGAGCTCTATGCACAGGACCACACCTCCACATAGATGTCCGTCTTCACAGCAATTCCTGAATCCTTAGAATTGGACATTTTCCTTAATATGCTTGGACAAACGGCAAAGAAACAGCAACGAAACAAGAAAGGAACACAAACAGCATATTTGTATATATGATGATTTATTGAGTCTGAGACTTCAGTGAGCGATGGCGATGAGTGTATACGGTGATAGCAATGAGGCATGATGGGACTCATATCAAATATCGCCATTCAGTCTACTATTGGGCGACACACAAGCACACAATTGTGTATACACCTAACTTACTGGCCATATCACAAATTAAAGAACTACCCAACCGGTTTCCATCACTTTTCTCATCGCTATCCAGAACATTTTCCAATCTTGCCAATCTCTAAACGAATAACAAGGTACTGTAATACTATTCACGTCTTCATGGTCATATTGCACAAATTCTCTTTTAGGCAGAGAAAAGCTTTACAATAGTTTGATGGTATTTATATCTGATAAATAAATGCCACTATATTAACATTTCAATAAGAAATTATTTTCATATCATGAACTGAAAAACAACTGAGCCAACAGCTTACATGCCTTAACATCTTGAGATTCACAAGGTACATTCCATCTCCATGTTGCAATCAAGTGTCCATCTTCTACATGGATGTGGCTGTCAAGAATCTTTCAGGCAAGGTACATTTCTCTACAATATCCACATATATAGATAAAAATACCCATAGAATCAGAAAATGATTACTTTAGTATTCTACGGCATGTTCGACAAAACAATCAGAGTGCTATTGTAAACCTCTATCCAAGTGGGTGAGTGAACGGGATCTAACACTGCTTTTAACTAGGGGTGAAACGGTATACTGTGGTATTAGTAGAACCATGATATTTTGCCTTTGGTTCAGTATACCATAATGCAATAAAAAAAATCGGTATTTTTGGTTTTTTCGTACTGTCATTTCCATCTAGTCACAAAATGACAGTTTTGTTCATTCAAAATAACAAGGATTGAGGTTATTTTTTTCCATGTTATTAAACAATGTAAGGTTTGGCTCGTCAATTTTCTGCATTATGATCATATCTCATATACCGAACTGAAACGGACCAAACCGAAGGCCTTGTCCCACAATACGTACCGTACCATGGTAAGAGATGTAGCGTTTCACCCCTACCTGTTCCCCATCCTCTAATTATGGGAGTTCTAGCACTATGAATGCTTTGAAAATCAACACTGGGCATCTTCCTTTGCAACACATCACAAAAACTGTTTGATATAGCCACTTAAAATAAGTAAATTTAACAAATAATAGAACACTAAATGCTTTTGATCTTAACACAGAAATGTAATACTGTAATGTTGTACATTTTAAGTACATGAATATACCATATTGGCACTTGTAAACTAATTAATGAGGCAAACCATTACCTGTGAATGCGTACCTACACACTTCTTTTTGTATTGGTTGCTAATCTGTAACTACAGATCCCTTGTATAGTAATATTCTTCAATGTTCGCTTGCATGATGTTTGTGAAGGCAAATGCAAAATCAGCATCAAGTTCTACAAGAATATTACTCTACGAGGAGTTCAAAGCTGTATATAAGCAACTAAGAGAAGTTTAGATAGTATAAGCATCGCAGTATGTACCTCCACAGCCAGCAAACACACAAAGGTTTTAGTTGAGTATACTGAATTCAAATATACCAGGGTATATCTGTTAACGGAGATCTTTGAAAGATTATTTAGGGTAAGTAAGAGCAAGAGAGTAAATGTTGTTTTATGCCTCAATCAGCAATATCTACTCATCGACAGCAAGTGTCTCTCAAAGCATATTTTGAAGAACATTTGAGAAAATATTTATCAAATAAAATTGTCCATACCTATTTCCTCACATGCCTATCAAAGTCTGACAACTGATGGAATTTCCTAGGCACGATTCCATGTACGAATCTACAATGATATATTACTGCAATAACTGTTACAAAGAACATGTAACAAAACAAAACTTCAAGTTTGTAGCTGACTTAGAGTCCCAAGAGCACATCTAACTTTCCACTGATTAACAAAATCATGTTTGGTTTCAGACAATTCCTATAAAATATTCTCATAGGTGTTTCCTTAACGTAGGCAGCTGCCATAGACCTAACAACTGTAAGTTCATTATACACTACTCCTACTGCTCAGTGCAAGTGGTACTCATAAACACTTCTTACTTGGAAGACTTACCTTCTTGTCAGAGAAATTGTATGTCAATTCTGATTCATTTTTGAGTCTGACAATATTCCCTCCTAATTAGGGCATAAATGCTTCCACTGGCTATTAAATATTATATCACTTATTCAGTAAATATATTTTTAAATGTTACAGTTTGGGGAAACGTTTGGAAATATATGTGTCACCAAATATGACGTCAGTGAAATTCTGAACAATTTGATAAAATAGTAACAATTAAGTA